TGTATACAGTCTTTTTATATAAACTTATTTTGTTATTTAAACTAACAATCAACTTTTATTTAAAATGAACCAAGAAGATTTTTTGTACCTTCTTGATCTTTAAAGAGATATTTTAAATTGTGTAATCCATAGTTTTATTAAGATCTTTGTTTTGATACCAAGTTGTAAACATTTTGATAAATAATTCTGAGTAAATTTGTTTGGTGTGTTTTTAAAATCAAAAAAAATCTCTTGTTGACTTAGCAAAAAGTATCTAATTTGGAAATACAAGAGTAGTTTTAACAAGTGTAAACATTAATAAAAACATGATATTGAAAAATCATGTTGTTAACATTGAATATTTAGTAGCGCATCCAGTGATCAAACTCTATCCGTTTTCATTTTATTAACTTATAGCTAACAAAACATAGCCAGCAATCTGCGTTAATTTATGCTTTTTGTCATTAGCTTATTGCTAACCTATGTAGGTAGTAATCGTAGTAGCCAAATTGCTGTCTTTATTGTTAGAAGTTGTCGCTAGGTAGTTTTTAGGTCATTTTCTACCAGAACATTAACTTCACCAAAATTACAGTAAAGGAATAGAAAACTTGTTTTTTTAATACCAAGATCAATGACTGGTTTACTTTTATGAAGATTTTTGGCCAATTTGTTTAAGATTCTAGGCAATTTTGAGCTGTTGCTATTTGATGCTTTTAAAAAAATACAAGAAGGTAAAAGTTTAGACGGAACAAGTTAAGAAAGCTTTTTACCGTTACACAGTGAAGCAGATTTGGTCAAAAAAAGCAAAAAGTCAAGTTTACGTTATACCAACTTTAGTCTTAAAATGTTAAAGTAAATTACTTTTTGGTAAAAAGTCAACATAAAAACAATTAAAATATTTATTTCACCATAAAATATGTAAAAATAAAAAAATTATGATGATAAGATTTTAAAAATTTAATGAAAATAAAATCTTTATTGTGAATTTAACCTTATTCGTAATCAATTTTCAAATCTCGAATAATGATTATTTTAAACTATTTTGTTCTTATTAAATAAAAGGGTATTTTCTTTTATTAAATAAAATTTTCTTTTATTTTTTAATTCAATAACATTACCCTATATTATGATTTTACAATTAAAATATGTAATCTTATATGCACAATTATAAACATATGCTAGCCAATTAAAAGTTGCACGCTGTTCCACGTTCAATTTTGGTTTAAACTAACAATCAACTTTTATTCAAGTTGAACTTAGAAGATTTGCTGCACCTTCTTGCTCCTTAAAGAGATATTTTAAATTGAGTAATGCATAGTTTTATTAAATACAACCTACGTCGCGTATATAAAAAATAGTCGAGCTTTTTCTATGTTTTTATTAAATCCTTATAAATCAAGCATTTCCTTTATTAAGAATTTCAAAGGAACATGTTAGTATCTTAAAATTATTATTTAATTTAACCTTTTTTTCTTTTTAGCTTGATTATAGAGTTTAACGCGTGCTAGTGTGCACGTTTGACACACAGAATTACACGTTTGCGTGTGCCTTGATTTAATAATAATGTATTTTGCTTCATAAAGCCTAAATTTGTAAATATTAATAGTGGTTACAGTTGTTTAAGTTCTCTAAAACGCGTTTAAACGCGTATATGCATGTTGTGAGGGTGTTTATTGGATGCAAAAAAAAAAATTCAAGTTTATATAGGACTCAAAAACTCTTATTTTGATATAAAATATATACTTAACCCTAAAAAAAATACCAAACTATTAGATAAGGGTAAGTTAATATTAGATAAGATATTAAGTATATATTAATATACTTAATATCTTATCTAATATTAACTTACCCTTATCTAATAGTTTGGTATTTTTTTCTGTTTTTAACTTACCCTTATCTAATAGTTTGGTATTTTTTTCTGTTTTTAACTTACCCTTATCTAATAGTTTGGTATTTTTTTCTGTTTTTAACTTACCCTTATCTAATAGTTTGGTATTTTTTTCTGTTTTTAACTTACCCTTATCTAATAGTTTGGTATTTTTTTCTGTTTTTAACTTAATTCGCCTCACTGTGCGCTGCATCAGTAAATGTCAATGCAAAGAAAAATACAAGACTTAAACAGCTCCTTATATGTAGGAATAACCTAAAATATAGCTGTGTAAATAAAATGCATAGATAAACTTCATAGATTTTTATAACAATAGATTAAAAATACTACCTACAGTCTTTATTGGATTTCTTCTTATTTCTTTATTGCATTTCTTCTTTACAAAAATATTACTTTAAAAATGAGTTTCGCTTATCTGCCAGAAGTCAGCTTCTCTAAGTTAGACCACAACTCTTAACTGAACAAGCGCAAAGATGTTTAAGAGATCAATTAATCAAATTTTGATTATTGAATAGGTCAATAATTAAAAGTTTCAGTTTTAAATGAGTGGCATTAAAATTTGTTGGACATTTTGTTGGACATAAAGTTATATATAAGTCGTTCAACAACATAAAGTTGTTGGACATGTTGGACATAACTTCATCAGCAAAATAGGTCACCAAACCACAAGTTCAATTACAAATAATAAAATGAACTCATAATAAATGAGTGACCTCGCCATTAAAAATAAAAAGCGATTGGCAAAAGATATATTTAACAAGCTCTTTTAGTTTGACATCAAAATTATCAGCAAAAAAAACTAAATGCATTGGACACAAAACAATAAAAGAGAAAGAAACTAATTTTTCAAATGGAAATCAGCAGCTGAAACAACTTGATCATTTTATCATCATTTTGGTTCAGTCTTTTTCACCAATTTTTCTATGAATTTAATGCTCATTGTTATCACCGATGCTATTTCTGAATCTACAAAAACTGATTAAACTCTTCTTACTAGCAGAAAACAACTCCTTTATCATAATTAATATTACCTAGATTTAGTTCAAAAACAAATCAACTTTTTCTCTTTCAAACTACAGTCTTTATTGATCGAGCCGCTTCAACCAAATTGGTGAAGGTGTAATAAATAACATAAACAACAAATGTGTCCCAAACCATCTCAAAGAATAACAACAACACAAGAATTTTATTTGTTACTTACTTAGAACAACTATGAATTAAAAGTTTCTAAACAAAACTCTTGCTCTAGATTAATTTAAAAAATCCCTATCTTTTGGTGCCGAAACCTAAAAAAATCTCGGAGAATTTCTAAGCGCAAAAGCAGGAATGTTACCCAAAAAATACAACGGCAGCATAATTGCAGGCAATTTGACAATTTACTGTCACTATCTCAACTTACAAACCTGTTCATAGCCCAAAGACATATACTCCCAATCTCATCATCAAGTTTTCTACAAATTGAGTAAATAAAACCTTGTGCTTTACTCGTCTTGTTTGAAAATACAATTGATTAAGTGGCTATACAAACTGGGTTCTTGACTAGATAGTCACGTTTCAGCAGCAAATTTTTTCATAAGCTTGGCAACTATAAAAAAATCAACAAATAAAGAGAAACAAGATTACCACAATACGAAACAAGGTTACCACAATGTGAAACAAGGTTACCATCTCTTGCTCAATAAATACAACAAATATTGCCTTCATTTCATTCCATGAATGCCAAACAAACCATCTCGCAAAAAACAACCATGACAACTGTTGTCTCTGGTTCATCTTAAAATTCACTCTAGGCCCGCAATCTCAACCTAAATTGGGAAATTAGATCCTTGCTCCGTAAGTAGAGGAAAAAAAAAGAAAGGTCGTAAAAATATATAGTCTTACTTTTCTGAAATTCTTCAAACTGCTCTGGCCAAATGCCAAAAGCACATTTGTTTTTACATTAAAAATAATCACTATAATAAATTAGATCTCTTCAATGCCAATTCTTGTAAGATCATTAGTTCTGGCAAAATCATAATAGCTAACTCACATGAATCAACTGTGGACAGCATAACATTTGAAAATCATAATAGCTAACTCACATGAATCAATTGTGGACAGCATAACATTTGAAAATCATAATAGCTAACTCACATGAATCAACTGTGGACAGCATAACATTTGAAAATCATAATAGCTAACTCACATGAATCAACTGTGGACAGCATAACATTTGAAAATCATAATAGCTAACTCACATGAATCAACTGTGGACAGGATAACATTTGAAACTCAGCCCATTATATTTTGATAAATCTAATATGATTACTGTAGACAGCTAGGCTACGACACCAGATATACAAAACCTAACTTCACATCTTTAGTCGACCGTCGAAAACGAGGTGACCTCATACAAAAATTTGCAGCACGATTTACATAATCAATCAACTTGCACTTTTTCCTAATTACAGTTCTGCTAAGAGCTAATTACAAACAGCTTTAAATCAAGCCTTAACAGACTCCAAATTTACTTACTAACAATCTTGTTAACAAATGACATAAACTTTTTATCTAAAAAACTATTTGAGTTACTTTTTATGAGAACTTGTTTACATTACTACATATCAGTGACAAATATTTAATTTTTAAAGCTGACAGCATGTCAAGCTGACAGCACGTCGAGCCAACTCATCTTTATGAGTTTATATTCGTTAAAACAACTGAAGGATGCATAGATGTAAAAGATAAAAAACTATTGCAAGTAATCTAACAACTACAACGAGTTTAGCAACTTTAAATTATTATTATGCCCATTATGTTATTTAGCTTTCTCTATTTAGATAATTTTAAACATAAATTTAATAAAAAATTAATCAACATAACATAATATAAACATTCAAGTCAACATAATATAAATATAATAGAGAATAAAATAGCATAAGTTAATAAAAAATAAATAGCATAAATTATTAAAAATAAATGAGCACAAATATAATAATAAAAAAAAAAGTTAGAATTAATTATAAATATGTCAAAATTAAAAATAAATGGAAGTAAATTAGTTCATGCTGACTTATTTTATTTCTTTTTTAAAGTCTCTAATTACCAAAAAACAATTCATTATTTAGTGGATAGATAATAAAAAACAAATAGATAAACAAAAAATGTAACTAATACAAATATGTTATCTATACAAACACGTTATAAATAAAAATATGCTTCCAATAAAAATTTGCTTTTCATAAAAATTTTGATAATAAAAATATAGAGAATGTGGATGAAATATATGACACGTGTGCATATATATAACGGACATCAAAGCCTATAGGTAAGATGTAAATACGGCCACTGGCTTATATATATACATGTATATGTACATACTTACAATAAAAAGAACAGTTTATACTTTAACAATAGTAAAAAAATTTTACAATTAAGAATTCAGCAAAAAATATATTACGTCACCTTTTCCGATGTAAGCAGAGGAGGATCGTGAAATTCAGTATTTGCAGTTTTTAAATCGTTGGAGCTTTTTTCAATGTTCTCGATATCTTTTGCGTGTTCGTGTACTTCTTCTTTTACATTAAATTGATTATTAAAAAATTCTTTTATGCTTTTTTCGTGGCTTTCTAACTTAGAATCATGTTTGGCATTGTTAATTACATTATTTTTAGAAATAGATTTCAGTATTGAACGATTGTTTTTTCTGTAATAAATAACTTCAACAATCACAAATAAAAAAAGAATCGGAAGTGAAAAAATTCCGTAAACTCTGAAAACAATGTTGGTTCCAAAATAATGCGTCAAAACACCGCCACCAATTGCTCCCACTGCTCTACCAAGTCCATAATAAAATCCTTGTAGAATACCTTGTACAGCAGCTCTGTATCCTTTTGGGGCCGCTCTGCTTAAATAACTAGTTAATGCTGCCCAAACACCAGCATGTGAAAAACCTTGTAAAACATCTAAAGGTAGAATAAACCAAGGGTTTACCATATACGATATGCAGAAAAACCGAACAAAGTTTACTAATAATCCTATACCGAGTATTTGAACATGGCCTACTTTTTGCAATAACCATTCAATAAAAAAGTATGTTGTTGTTTCCGATAGGTGATCTGTTGCAGATGAAATACCAAATAAAGTAGGAGGAGCACCTAGATCCTCTAAATGCCAAAATAAAAAAACTCGTGACAAACCCATGCCTAGTCCACAATACAAAGCTGAAAGCACTGACATAAAATAGTTTGGTTTCATAAATATGTTTAACACATCGCGGGGTGTTCCATGCAAAGTTTCATCCGCATCGTCAGCATTGTTAAAATTAAACTTTGTTGCAATGATTAAAGCAACACTCATTAAAACAATAAAAAAATAAAAAGCATAGGTGTAGTCTTTACTGATAGGTTCGTCGCAAACTTTATACATGGGTAAAGCGTCGATAACAAATCCTACAGTAAACATAGCAGATCCCCATCCTAAACTACCAAACATTCTTTGACGTCCATACCTTTCTTTATTATCACCAAGTGCATTCAGTGTTGCAGTATCTGCCAGAGTGGGAGCAGAAGATGCAAAAAACTCTCCAACTACAGTTAAAAAAAGTAAAACCCAAAAAATTTGATGAATGCTTTCTTCGCTAAAAACGACATTACTTTTTCTGTGTGGATTAATCTGAGGTTCATGTGGCGTATTTGACTTCAAGAATTCATTTACCTCGTCTGTTTCCTGTGAGGTAAATTCTGTAATATTTTTGGCCAGCATGATAAAACGATGACATGTTTTGTCTAATGGCTTAATCATTCCCAATGGGAATACAAAAGCTATCCAGCACAGTAAGTTGAAAATGAGCATGACTTTTCTGATATTCAATCTATCGGCTAAAGAGCTTAGCGATGGTGCACTAACAAACTCAATTAAAGGTCGCATTCCTACCAATATTCCACTTTGCGAAGGATTCATTCCAATCTGTTTGTAATATACTGCAAGAAGAGGAAAAAAAGAACCGTAAGCAGACCAATAAAAAAAATAAAATAGCTTGGAAACGAGCAGCCTCCTATTCACACTACCACACTTAGCAAACAGTTTTCTCATTTTTTAATTAATTTCTGACAACAGAATTTTGAAAACGTTACATCTTTTTTAACAACTTGCAAAAACTTTTTTGAGCGCTTCTCAGCTTCGATTATTGCTGCAAATAAGCTACGCAACCATTGAGTAAGTCACGCTCGGTTGATTGAACGAGCGCATTTCTCAAAGAACAAAGAAATTTTGGGAGAATGCAGCAGCTCTCAAAACAATACGTTTCCAAACAAATTAAACCAAAGAATTACGAGTAAAAATAATTAAACTATCAATGTTTAATTTTTTAAATATCTAGTTAGTTCTAGCTATGTGTTTTTTCTAATTAAAAGTAAAAATACTGCATTTCTCAACCTGTACAACAATAAATAAATTTCTAAATAAAAGATTAAAATTCTAAATCAGCTGAAAAATATTAAAAAAACAACCAACATTTGTTTTAAACATTTACCGTTTTAAATTGAGCGCTGAATCCAAATGTCAAAAAATAAACCAATAAATATTAGAACAACACTCATCCATTGCTCGGCTTTCAGATTATGCGAAAAAACAAAAACAGATATTAATACATTAAAAAATTTACGAGTAGTCGTTATAACTGCGCAAGTTAAAGGGCCAAACCACGCAATACTAAAGTATATAAAATTTTGACCAAAAGCACTAGTTAAACCTAAAATTAAAGTATAGAGCAAAACAAGAGGAAATTTTTCTGCATAGATATAAAAATCTTTAAACTCATTTGTAAATAACATTATCGTCCCCAAAATTAGAAAAGAATATTTGTTCGTAAAATACATTAGTTTATGTGCCTCTATGGAATAGTCTCGCTTCATTATATCCTGTATAGACGCCAAAATACCGTCTAAAATTAAAGAAAATAAAATTAACAAACATCCGTATGAAACGTAGTGTTGAACACCATTTTTAGCGCCTGCCAAATCTTGCATTTTATATTCAAAACACATAAAGCTCATTACGCCAGTTACAGTAAGAAATATACTCAAAAATCGATACAGGGGGTATGCTTTTTTATTAGTAAAATATCCAAAGACTAATATAGATATAGGTTTGCTAGACTTTAGTATTAACTGCGTAGGATAACTGACATAAAACAAAGCAAAGAACGAACACATCATTGAGAGCATATTCAAAATGCTACACCCCAAATATAGTCTTTCAGGAACATCTGATTTTACGATCATTTCTTTTGGATTGCTGATAGTTAAAAGTATTAGTCGAGCACAAATAGCATTACAAAGCGCCGGAACAATTAACATTGTGAGATAAAAATCAAATACTTCTTTTCCAAACCTTGTAGTTATTACTTCATTTACAATACCATTTGCTAGATAGCCCAAAAAAACTCCCAAAAAACAAACACAAAGTTTAAATAACATCAGTTTCTAATATATATTGATAACCTAAAACGACAAAATACAAGTAAACTTATCAATGTCAAATTAAAAAAACAACCGAAGTTTCGACGGTGTTTCACTGTTAAATAATAAAGAAAAGTACTAACGTTGTCAAATAATACCAAGCAGTGTTGATGGTGTCAAATAAAACACTGTCAAATAATACCGAAATGTGCCGACGGTGTCAAATAAAACTATCAAATAATTAAAAACATATTCTTATTCATTGTTTTTATAACCATGAAAACTAACTTAAAAATGCATTTTTTTAAAAATTTCTTTAATAAAAATACAATATGATATTAAGCATGTAGCACTTACAAAAACAACTAAATAGTATTTTTAAACAAAAAAATATTTAAAACTTTGACAAAAAACTATTGTATTCCTCTAAAGTACTCTTGCAAATCTTGACAAATTCTTCTGATTCACATTTGATGATACTTTGTAGCGATAATTTACCTTTTTTGGAAGTGACTTTTCTTGGTGCAATTAATTTCATCAAACCTAATTGCCGCATGTATGTAAAACGTTGTTTTATGATTGGGAAATGGGTTTTAGCAAAACATATGGGCGCAGATACAACCAATTGAACTGGTGTTAAATCCTTACTGCTCATATAGAACTCAAGAATCTCAGTCATAGAATGGTGAGAAAAATCATCACAATCCACAAAACAATTTGGACCTCCTTTGACTGCAAATAAACGAGCAATATCGGCCTCTTTAAATCCAAATGATTTAAATAAATCACATCTCCTATTAAATTTTTCTGGGAATCGAAATATTTCAGGACGTTCATTAAGAAGTCTAAATGCTCTACTTTTAACTGTACTTATTTTTTCAATGTAATTTACAACGTCAGTGACTTTGTCATCAGACAGTACAAGAAAGACATCCGGTCTGTTGCGTAAAAGTTTCTCAATATCTTCAGCAACAAGGAAAAATGGAGAAGACTGTGCTTTTTCAAGACAAGCTTCTAGTTTTTCCTTGGAAATAAAAAGAAATTCTGGACAAAGCCGATAAATTCGCTCTATTTCTATTTTATACGATGCTAAGAAATCTTTGACTTCAGATAGATTAATTTCCTTAACTTCTCTTAAAATGGCACTTAAAGATTTATCCTGAACCGAGAATAACCTTGGTTCGTAAAAAGAAGTTTCCAGTAATTTACTTTGATCTAATCCCAACGTATGTAGCCGCTTTAAATGATTTAATGCTTCAAGCGTTAAAGGATAACTTAATAAAATAGAATTCTTCAATATAACATTTTTTAATGCTGACTTCATACCCGCTTTTTCTAATAGCGTTAGGTTTTCTTCTAAACGTGTTAAATCAATGCTTCCAATAAATGGATTTGCACGGAAAAGTTCTATAACAGGTAGATCAAACTTTTGAAGACATTTTACAACGCCAAGAAAATTCGGATTGCATATATCAAAGGACGCTGGTATTGATAAAATCAACAACATTTCATCACTTTTTGCAAGTCCTGAATCTTTAATTAATTCTAAACGTCTTTTTAACACATCCAAACTAAATCCAAAAATTTGGGAAACATTCGTTTGAAGTTTATGAATCACTTTACTCTTGTCTTCAAATAAAGTGTCATTTTGAATATTTTTAAAATAATCAACAACTTGAAGAGTTACTTCATGATCTTCATTTAAATAATGCCTCCTATCTTTCGTTATTTTGCTTTCCTTATCAATCGACTTTTTATAAACCTTTTTACATAGAAAATTACTAGTTGCGAAGCTACGAGAATTTGGGCAAAGAGCTAAAGTAAATTTGAAACATTTTGATGAAAAATGCCAAAAAACATGTGATCGATTCATTATATTAACTAAAAGAAAAGCAAAAAGAAATCATGTAACAATAAGTACTTAAAACATTTTAGCAGGGGTGGGCAAATGATCAATAAAAATTAAACACATATTTGTATACATATCGTAAAAGAGAACCATAGTTAATCATGCAAAAAGTTGTATTCTATTAAAAGATCCATGTTTGCCCAACCCTGAAACTTGTGAATTCTCGTAAACCCTGAATTAAAATTAAAAAACAAACAAACAACAACAACAACAAAAATCTAAGCAAACAATAATAATAAATATCTTTATATATATATATATATATATATATATATATATATATATATATATATATATATATATATATATATATATATATATATATATATATATATATATATATATATATATATATATCCAGGGCGGATCCAGCCCATGCCGTAAGGAAGGCAATTTGATTTTTTTTTTCGATTTGGGATTTGGCAATGAGGGAGGGGAGGCCATTTTTAGATTTAATGATTTGTAAGCAAGCAACCACACAATTTTAAATTTTATTAAAATTCTAATTTTATTTAAACAGCCTAACTATATTATTTCCGTTTTCAAATAACTTGCTGTGTTTAATATATAAACTTACAAAAATAAAAAATTTCAAAACATTCTAAGAAAAAAGGTAGGGGGCGATCCCCTCCCCCTATGGATCCGCCCTTGATATATATATATATATATATATATATATATATATATATATATATATATATATATATATATGTATATATATATATATATATATATATTTCACATATTACTAATAGTAAAAAGTTATTTCACGCATGTAGGTAATGTAACAAATGTAACAAGGTCTGTTTTATAAGAACTCTTAGTTATGACTTACTAATGCAGATTATTATTAAATAAAGTGTGCAGTTAAAGATATAAAATACCTATTAAATAATTATTAAATGCATTTAACACAATATATAATAATATATACCAATAATATATCTCATTTCTTGATAGCTATATATATTTCATTAGATACCAATTAACTCTCTACCAATAAAACGATTAAATATTTAAAAAAGTAAAATAAATACAAATAACTTTTATATTAGGTTGATGCAGTTTATTGAAAAAAATAACCAAGAAACGACACAAAAGCTTCTATCAGAGCCAAGGATGCCATGCAGGATCCATTCGACAAGTGTTGTCCGGATTTAATGCAGCTGATATAAGAGTAAAAACTTTAGATTCAGCATTTTCAAATATGGCCAAATCTAAAAAGTATGGGAAAAACTCAAATCACTTATAATAACCAATTATGTTTTGAATACATCTTAGGAGTCTTCCATAAAGTAAGTACGCAAGTATGGAGGGAGGGGTGGTTAGTGGGTTACTCAAAAAAGTACGAATGTGTGCAAGGGCTGCGCGCGTGTCTATGTGTTAAAGGCAGCGAGTACATGAACGATTTGACGTTCTCTATTTCTAAAAAAACTTGATTTTTTTTTAAAATAAATTTTATTTTAAACTTCACGAGTTTAAAAATAAAAGCATTGAACTTCACAAGTTTAAAAATTAACATTATGTTATGTAACAGAGAAAGCTGAATAAAGTTTTTTGTTTTAAAGGTAGACCACTAATAAATAAAATCCTTTGAAAATTACAATTTTAAACCCCAAAATATGATAATTTCGTTGTGGTGATTATCTCAAAAACTATAACCTGAAATTTAAAATAAAATATACAATTTAATTTAATTTTTTTTATTTTACTTGAAATTTTCTAAATTTATTAATAACATAATAAAAAAGATCTTGTATTTAATTAAGAAAAACTTTGATAAATATATGTGATAAAGAAAAACCACAAGTAAAAAATAAAGCGCTTTTGACCATATTTGGACTTTAAAATCCTTTTATTGGATTATAATAATGCACAAAAGTGTTAGAGAACATCCATTACAACAAAATGAACAACTCCTGAAAACTTCATAGTAATCAATTAAGAAAATTATTCATCGTAAAGTCTTGAATTTTGAGGAACTTAGAAAAATACATTTAAATATAAAAAATCTTCAAATAAAAATAAAATACTTAAACAACCTATTAACTAATATTACCTTAATATTATAAAAGTGTTGTAAAGTAAAAGTAAAGTAAACGGTCACATAATAATAGATAAAATAATAATATCAAAATTTTTAATACATATAAAAATGATTTCACTTTTGCTTTGTAACTTAGATTCAATTAAAAGCTCTTATCAGTTTTTTTGTAAACAGTTGTTATTGTAAATAGATAAAATTATTATGCACAAAAAAAAAAGTTATTCTCATTAACCTCTAGCGTTGTGTTGACTCACCCGTAAGTTGCTATCTGTATGTTTGTGTTCTACCTAAACCTTTTGCATGGTGTTGGTTCATCCCTAAGTTACTTTATATATGTATGTTTGTGTTCTGTCTAAACAGAAGTGTGCTTTTTTAGGCAAAGGCTAGGAGAAACAAATTCCAACTTAAAAATCCCCTGCCTTGAGGCTCTCGATTGAGTAAAGATTTGTGATGGTGTCTCAATAAATACTCATCTTAAGCAGATGTTAACTGCATCTAGCTACTGTCTTGTTGGAGACCTCCTAGGCAAATACTTTCGGGGTAAGCAGAATAATTCTGCTAACCAGCCTTAAACCCTTTCTTCATCTATTAGACTGGCATAGGTGTAAACCTGTGTTACATTGTTTCCTGCCTAGGATGATAAATGCTGGATCTTCTTGACTCTATTCAAAAACTCAATTTAAAGGTTCTGAGGGCGGCTGGTAGTAAGGTTTCCCGAACTCTGTAATAGCTCTCAGAAAGGCTGATTCCATCAACAGCTGCAAAATATCAGAGTATTAACAGTGCCATGTTGTACATGGATGGTGTCGCTGTTAATTCTTTTGGTGCGCATGAGTGATGTTTACTTTAAACTTAATACATGCCAAAATTAACTCAAAATACTAAACATAAAAAACCATCCCCACCACCTAACTGTGGACATAACTAATTTTAAAAATATACGTGGTCTGCAAAGCAAGCTGCCATCAGTTGAGTCTTACCTCTTGCAAAATTCACCAGACTTGCTTGCTCTTAGTGAGACTAATTAAATTCTGCTATTCCTTTTTCTGATATCAGTATTGACGGGTACTATCCTTTGATTTGCTAAGACTCCAATAATCACAAGCTTGGCTTGAGGGTATACATATGCATTAATTCAAATATTTGTCGTGAAATCAGGTTCAAATCCTTTGACCATTCTTTTATGAGCTTCCGCTTAGCACCTCTTCACTCTATCAATTTTTTGTTCTTACCCCTTCTCCACAAGACTGCACTCTTTTAGATGCAATTTCTGATCAAATTGACCATGCTCTCTCTCTTTGCCCCTCTTCCAATATTGTTGTTTTTGGTGACTTTAAAGCTTATCACACTGAATGGCTTGGCTCTAATGCCACTACAGCTTTTGCATTTCTCAATCTCTTACTCAGATAGTTAACTTTGTGACTCCTGAAAATCCTAATCATTTACCTTCTCTCCTTAATTAATGCCTGGTCCCTGATCCTAGCTTGTGTTCAGCTTCCCCTTTTTTTCCTATGTAGTTCTGACCATGCAATGATCTTTTAATCTTTCACTGCACTACTTATCATTGCACTACTTATTACTACCCTACTCTCCCTATGATTGCACTATTTACTACTACACTAAAGCTGACTGGGATTCTTTTTGTGACGCCCTTGGGCTGATGTCTTTTCCTTATGTAACCTCCTGGATTCATGCAGAATTCATTCAGAGTCAAATAACTTCAAATTCAAATTCAGAGTCAAATAACTTACTGTCAGATGATATGGTTTTTAATCCTCTCGCTCTACAGCTGACTTGCTAACTGCTGTGACTGAAAGATTTTTATCATGCATTAGATGGAAGCGGAGAGGCTAGGGCTCTAGACATATCTAAGGCTTTGGACAAAGTTTGCCATGCTGGTCTTCTATATAAGCTTGTTTCATATGGTGTATCTGAGAAAGTTTTTAAGATTTTCAAACTGTTTCTTTCTAACCGCTTTATTAAATTTATCCTTGAAGGCCAACACTCTCCTTTATTTCCAGTAACTTCTAGGGTACTCAACCTGAACCTCAAGGTTCTATCCTTGATCCTGTTTTGTTTTTTATCTACATTAATAGTCTTTCCAACAACCTTCTAAAATAGCTCTTTTTGCTGACGTTTTAACTTTATACTCATGGCTTGACAAAAAGTCTTCTCTTTTCGATTGCTTAGAACAGGCAGCTGATCTTGAATCTGATCTCTTTTTTGTTAGAGATTAGGTCTCACACACAGTGGGCCAAACAACTGTTTTCACAGACATTGGTTCATAACTTTTGAATGGAAAGTGCTATGGGGTTGATTAAAGACTCTTTGGAAAGGTTTATATTTAAAATTTTTGGAAAAACTAAAAAATAATTTTGCTGCAGGATATTTAGGTCATGATTTAAAAGAACAAAATATTGAAAATTTTAGAAAATTTGCTTTTTTATAGGTTATAAAAAAAATACTTATAAATGTTTATAAATTTGTATGTATTTTTTGTAATACAAAGATAACATCGGTATATCAATGGCAAAAATAATAAAAATTATCAAAAGAAGTACTAGAATACGCATTTATTCATATGTTAACATTTTAAAATATGTGTAATCTTCAGATAAAATGTTATTAGAGACATTTTGTTGATGAGAATATTTATCAGAATGTCCTCATTCACACCAAAATTTGCAGAATGATTTTGACTTCTCTCCTGTCAAAAAATGGACAATATCCATATTCAGTTAATGGTGTCCATATTCAGTAATAGTTAAATTGACAATTTAGGAGTTTTTTGAAAGTGAAAAATTTTTTTGAAAGTCTAAAGTCTAGTATGTATCAATCTCAATATTTTGTTATTACCTTTTAACACTGAATCATAAAGATTTTCCAAACCAATTTCCTCATTATTCAAAATTAGCGCCCAAGAATGACCAATCAGTTTGTGAAGTGATGGTGTTATACTGATCCATGGTCCAGGTAAATTTATTTTTGTAACAGATGGAAACTCTTTAAATAGGAATAAATAAAAATCTGTACAATAGAAATATATAAATATAATTATATTGATCTACATAAATTATTTTTTTTGAGGAAAATACTCAAAGAATTATTAAGAGTACTAATTCAAACTTTTGAAATGTTGCATAGTATCAAACAGCCAATTGTGCAATAATTAAATTATAATTAAATCCCTATTTGATTTTTTGTGCAAGTTCTCTAGCTATATAACTTGTTGTTGTTGTTCCTCTTTTTCCAGTTTCATCAGACTCATTTTATAACTGTTTTTTTTTTAAATATCTCTGTTTGTAATGAAGTCTCTGCTTGCTTCAGAAAGCTATTTGAAGTACTGAAAGGGGACTCAGATCAATTAAAAACACCAGCTTTCATATGTACAACAATTTTCATGAAATGGTCAAATAAACCAAGTAAAGCATGAAGAATCTTTAAAAATATCAGTAATTTTTAAATGTAATAATTTTTAATATCAAGTATGTCCACATATTAAAAATTCAGAATAATATGAACACTATTACAAGATGCCAGTTTATTTGTATTGGCTTTACATTACAGGTTGGAATTGGTTTCAAGGTTTGTCCGGCCCTTGAGATGTAATTGGATTTTTTTTTAAGTATAGAAACGTCTTCTTGTTCAAGTTGGTTAAATATTTCATTCATAATTATAGTGTCTTGATTGATTACAAAACCATTTTTAATTCTTTCAATATTCAAACACTGAAATTTTGAGCATGTGCACATGATTACAATATGCACCTCAAACCCCAGAAAAAAGAATCGCTGTTTTCATAACCATCATATTTAACTGCACTATAACCTTTAAATTAAATTGTTTTCCCTCTTAATACATAAAGAAACTTTTATATTTTAACTCTTCTATGTCAGAATTTAAGACAGACAATGATTGAAGAGTTTCTCTTGATTCTTTTCCCATTTGAAGACTTGCGTTTTGGGACTCGGTGGGAAATTTCGTGACTTTTGCAACCATGTTAAAAAACCTGCTTCTGTTTCGAGTATGAACAAAGTTTCAATATGGACAAAACATTTTCAGTATGATGTTGTTTGTGTTAACATCTTTTAATTAAATATTGCATGACATCCACTACCATCAAATCCAAACTTTATTTTTATTAGTGTATTTTCAATGTTTATATCTAAAAAAATGTTCTCCAATATCCTATGCATCGTCAGTTTAATAGCCTGAAATAGACTAAAGTAAAAACAAGAATAAAGTTCAAGATAATTCACAATAATTACTTCAGATTGATTTTCTTCTGAGATGTTTCCAATTAAGCAATATATTAAAACCTGAAATTTTTTTTTTTGGTTTGTATATGAGTGCCTACCAAGAGCACAAACTGTTTAAATTAAGATTGTTTTTATTGGAAACTTATTGAAAGAGCTATTCTTTAACATACTCTTCAAACAAGGTTTCCTTACCAACCTTGAACTGTATAGCATAGCCCATTTTTTTAAGTTTATTTTTCTTCAAATGCTAATCTTTGCCAACTATTTTAAACTATTGTTTTTTGTGCAAATGTCAATTCATCAGAGTCAAGTCATCAAGTGCCCTACAACCTGTTATATTTGCAGAAATAGTTTTTGGTTATTTGATTTTCCTCAGCAATGAAAATTTCAAATAATTCAAATTATGTGAGCTTCATTGTTATTAAACTAAAGATATAAATATTTTTGTTGATTCGTTGTCTAACAACTTTTTAAATAAAATGATTTAAACTTGAAATAATATAATTCAAAATATAAACAAGTTTACGTGATAAGTAAAAATATTATATCATTAATATATACACCACAAATCCCTAGTTTAAACTCTTGCAATTTGTTCATTTTAAAACAGATTTCAATGCTGCAATATATTTTTTTAATTAATGGTTGTACTAACTAAATTAAATTTGGTCAAAAAATAGTTCAATACAAAAGAGGGCTGAGGAGGGTGTGTGTGGATGTGTTGGTCAAAAATTGGTCTTAATCCTTTTTTTAATTTCTAGACATACATTTACTGAACACATCTTCTCCTTATAAAAAAATGTACAAAATAATGTAAAACTATTTGCATTAATATTTTTTAATATATTTTACAAAAATTTAAACTAAAGGGGTAGCGTCATTCTTTTACATTTTAGCTTAAAAGTGCTAAGTTGGCACAATTTAGTTACAAACCATTTAATTCCTCTTTGTTATAGGAGTTTAAAAATATGTTTGTTTATTAGTGCCAACTTAGCACTTTTTGAGATAAATTATTTTTTCTGATAAAAAATAATTTTCTCTCTCCTGATTCCATTCCTCTACCTCTACTCTTTTTCGTCCCTGTATGGAATACTGTTATCATATTTGGGCTGATTCTTCTAATGATGCTCTTCTAGACAAGGTCAAAAAATGCATTGTTAACGTAGTCGGACCTGTTCTATCTGCTAAGCTTGAGCCTCTTTCCTATTGTTGTAAATTGCATTTCTTTCTCTTTTCTACTATCATGGCCACTGCTCAAAAGAGCTCTTATCTCTTGTTCCATCAACTAAAACTCATGCTGGCTTAACTTGTCATTAGGCAAAGTCTCATTATTTTACTGTATCTGTCCCTGCATGATTTAAAAACTTTTATTTGTCTAGTTTTTTCTCCTGCACTTTCATCTTCATGTTTTCCTGACTCACACAACCTACAACTTTCAAAGTCTTTTGTCAACCATTTTCTTGCTCTATAACTCAATTCTTTGTTTTCAAACAAGTTAAAGAAAGATTTCTTTATAGGACCAGACATGTTTAAAAAATTATTATACTATAGCATTCATTACCCATTTCTCAAAAAGCTAATATTGCTCATAAATAAACAACAATAGTTAACTGCTGCTGGCTTGCTTATAGTTTTGGTAGAATAAAACTTCTGCTGAAAGTGATTAGATGCAGTGTTATTATAAATCATAATTTAAAAATTACATTTGTAAAACATTTTAGACAGTGACCAATTGCAGTTATCATTTTATTTAATATGTCAATAATTTTTTGATTTTAATAGTGATCTACTACCTTAATGTTTTGAAAAATTCAAGTTTGAGGGGTGGGAGTGGAGTGGAAGGCTGATTTTTAATAATTAATGGATAAGTACACAGAAAAGGGAGGGGTCATTGTAAGAATACAGGTGCGTACTAGAGTGAAGGAAAAAGGGCCTTAATCAGCGGTTTTATTGCATACATACTTTATGGATGCCTCTTCACATAATTGAATTTAATACCAGTCCTATTATTGTATTATTCTTTTTTTGTATTATTTTATTTTATTATTATTATTTTTAATCCATTTATTCAACAAAAAATTTAAAATTACAAATTTTTATAATTTTACTTAACTTAAGTTAGGTGTCACTCATATAATTAAAAACTAATAATTGGAGTGACACCTAAAAAAATAAAAAAATAAAAACAAAAAAAATCAACAGCAATATTAATAAGTAAAAGCGTAAATTAAATTAATTTAAAAAAATAACAATTAAGCTATAATAAACTAAAAACAAAAAAGTATAAAAATACTTAATTGACAACAGCGATTAACATTAAAAATAATTAGCAACAACAGCACAAATAATAAAACTTTACACAAACAAAAAGGCAAACATAAAAACTACAATACAAAAACAAAAACTGCAAAAGAAAAAGACAAACACAAAAACTTCTGCAAAATAAAATTCAAATCTTTTGTTATTTTTGGCGGAAACGGAAATGCTTTACTTAGTTCTTCTCAATTATTTTGAACATTTTTTGAACTTTTTTTCTTTTAACTTGGCTTTTCTTATTTCTTTCATTTTCTTTTTCTATTTTTTCTTCAATTTTTTAGTTCATTATATATCTTTCAATATTTTTTTTATTTTACCTTATTTTTAACTAATCTTTTTTATTCTTTAAAATAATTTCCCTTGTTTTCCTTTTCTATTTTTTTTTTCTTCTCACTGTTAAATAAATGCTTCCACCATTTGAAATGTCATTACAAAGAATATTTCCAAGAATTTTTTAAAATAATGATCTACCTTTTTTGATTCAGTCTATTTTAATCTAGTTTGTTTAGCCAAATAACTTTTATATCTTTGATAATTTAATGACTCTCTCTTTACAAAAGGTTACTTATTTAAATTCATAAAATTTGTATAATGTATGTTTAATAAATCTGCTAAAAGCTGAATTTTATGAAAGTTACATTTAGCATGTTCAAAAAATGTCAAACTTTTTATTAGATCTAATAACTTCATTTTAAAAACTTTAGACCTAACCATCTCATATTAGAACCATCCATCTCATATTAGAGCCACCCATAATAAGGTTCCCTCTTGTTCCCTCTCCCAGAGATAATATGAAGAATTTAACTACAAGTCACAATAATGATCAACTTGTTGGTTGTGAACACAATGACCATCAAAAAGAAAACCACATATATGATATTATTTTACCCTTTTTGTCTAACCTCTGTTTTTATCTAATACTATCAAACATGCTTTTTTATACTTGCTTAGTGGTTGTCTCACCTATACTTGCTTATTTGCTGTCTCATCAAATTTAAAACAAAAAAATGTATTTGTAAGATCAGAATTTAAAATAATTTTAAGAAAAGGAGCAATACCAAACTGTATTTAATATTCAATTCATCTTATTTTAAATGCTTTGTCACAACAGAATCAGAAAACATAGAGGTAAATATTGAATTGTTAACTTGAAACTTTCATTACAGTTTATAAGTTGTAAAACTTGCAAAATTTCAGCATAAGAAACTTGGTCATCTATAGGGATATTTGAACATCCAACATGAGAAAGTTCAATGCATTTAACGATAAACAATAATTTTCATTTACTTGACTAGATTATATTTTTATTAGTTGAGAAGGAAACATTGTAACAGCAGAGGTAATAGAGACGATTTCCCCCTCATACCGAGGTACTACTCATACAGTGAGTAGGCACATGAGAATGCTTTTGATTGGTTGATATTTTATAAGAACCTTTGTCAATTTGTTTATTACATTAGCCATTACAAGCTTTTCAAGTTGACTAACACTACTGGAAAATATACTGAAAGAAGTTTTACAATAGTACCACTGATATAATGAATGTCTAAATGTCTTACAATAACACCACTGATATAGCAAATGATGTCTTACAACAAATACCACTGATATAATGAATGATGCTTTACATTATTTGCAATAAACTAAAGTTAAATTGTAGCTAACAACTGAAACTGACTTGAATTTGCTTTTCCAAGATGTTTGGTAAGCAGTTTTTACCTATTTGTATATGCTAGGTAATATTAAATCTTAAAAGTATAAAATTTAAATTTACTTAACTAAAATATTTTTTAAAAAAAGTATTACTTTAAACCAACTAAATAACAAAATAAACAAAACAATAATAATTAATCTTAAAAAATAATTTAGACTTTTATTCATGCCTGTATAAACAAATGCATGCTTTTCTTGACAAGAGGATGTATAAACAAATCGTTTTCTCGACAAGAGGGAACCTTATTATAAACCATCAAAAATCTTGCACTCATTATAAATTCAAAAAACAATTTACTAAATTAAATAAATCAAATAAATAGAATAAAATAATTAAAAGAGTCCAAAATATATAAGATTCAAATCTTAGAAGACAAATCAAACAAAGACCTCTTAATAATCAGGACATTAAACAAACAAAAACGTAAAAATCAAGACAAAATACAAAGAAAGAACTTGCAACCGCTTGTAACTGGTTGTAATTGCTCAAAACATAATAATATTTTGTTAATCAAGACAAATGATTTTGTCAATAACAATGACAAGTTGATTTGTTTAATGTAATATTTTCTTTTAAACAAATGAAGATCTTATATCAATAGAGAAATATAAATTTGATCTAAACAAAATACAGTTCTAAGTAGTTGGCGCAAATCCAAAAAAAAACACTCACTTTGAAGTCTTGTTAACATTGCATTGCTTGCATTTGTAACTAATGTTATAAGTTGTTCATTATTCATTTCTGATTGGTTAGGTAAAAGATTTTGTTCATCTTGTTTCTATAAATAAATAAAAAACTGAAAAATGAATAAAAAAAAAAATCTTTGAGGAGGAACTTTTAATTAAAATTTTTTTAAATATCTGTTATGATATATTTTTATAAATATTTTATAATTTATGATACCTATAGATTATTATTTATTTCAACCCACCAATAGTTAGTTATAGAAATAATTCACAATGAGTGATAATAGAAGTTATAGAAATAATTCACAATAAGTGGTATAAAACAAGAAAAAAAGCAAGTACAACAGTTTCTGATTTAATAGATAAGATAAACATTTGTTTTTAATATAATAGCATTTTCTTTGTTTTTTAAATATAATATTATTTTAACAATAATATTATGAATTATTAGTAACAATAATAATAATAATAAAATTATAAAAGTCAAAATAATAAATAGTAATAATAGTATTAGTAGTAGTAGTTGTCGTAGTAGTAGTAGTAGTAGTAGTAGTAGTAGTAGTAGTAGAAGTAGTAGTTGTCGTAGTAGTAGTAGTAGTAGTAGTAGTAGTAGTAGTAGTAGTAGTTGTCGTAGTAGTAGTAGTAGTAGTAGTAGTAGTAGTAGAAGTAGTAGTTGTCGTAGTAGTAGTAGTAGTAGTAGTAGAAGTAGTAGTTGTCGTAGTAGTAGTAGTAGTTGTTGTTGTTGTCGTAGTAGTAGTAGAAGTAGTAGTTGTCGTAGTAGTAGTAGTAGTAGTTGTCGTAGTAGTAGTAGTAGTAGTAGTAGTAGTAGTAGTAGTAGTAGTAGTAGTAGTAGTAGTAGTAGTAGTAGTAGGTATTTATAAAAAAGGTAATTATAAAAAATAAATTATTATAACAAAATCAGTTTGAAAATTTTGGACCCTAATACCAAAAACAACTCCTATGAAAACCTTTTTGAGGGGTGTTAGTACATATGATAGGGATCTCATAACAAGTAATTTTGAAATCAGCGATTACCGTCCGCAAGACTTATTTGACTTTATTAGTTTTATCTTAATGAAACGCTGTGACTTTTACTGAAAAATTTTTCTGACACAAGTTTACACAACTTTTCTAAATATAACAAGTATCAAAAGGTTAAGAAAGTGTCACTTGATGGTATTTGGTGTATTTTAAAACACCAGTGTGATTTTTTTAAATTCTTATCACCAAAATAATGTCAACAAAATTACGGCCATTGTTTTCCGGGAAAGGGCTGCATAAAATAGTTTTGAAGAAAAATTTGTAGAATGTGCATCAAAAATGCCCAATTCAGCAAAAACCCGTGTAAACCAAGATTGACGTGTAAACCAACTAAGACGTGTAAACCAAGATTATACAGATTTGAAGACATCCAAATAAAACCGACAACTCGAAGTTCAAACACCTGTGATTGTTTGATCTGCCAAATTGGGAGGCTCAAAGGTAAAGTAACTCACCCACTTGAGCAAAAAGACCAGCCTGCAACAACCAGTCAGCCACCTAAAAGTTCATAAAAACGTTGTACAAAATGTTTGTCTGTTCTCTCACGAGGCCTTTCTTATCATTGGACAATTGGTTCACGCCATGAAAACTTGAACCAACTGGCATTGTCAGATCCTAAAGGAGCTGAACAAGTTGCATCTTCCATTGTTGCATCCAAGGAAGCATCTCCTGGAGGAATAATTCGACTTCAATCAATCGAGCGGGATGCATCTTCCAATCAGAAAAGGTAAAATGTATACTTACCACATTCTTCTTTAGAGAATGCTAATAGATTTCGTTTTTTTAGGTGGTGTTGTTGCTCAAAAGCTTTTTCCTTCCAGACTTTTAACAGGGGATATGGTTTAAATTCAACAGAATACAGGATTGTCTAACAACGGAATGAGCAAACTTGGATCATTCATCAATCATATCAGCCCAACAAGATTAGTTGTCTAACAACGGAACGAGGAAACTTGGATCGTTCATCAATCATATCAGCTCACTAAGAAAGCAAACTAGTGTGAAAAAGCAATTTCTTGTGGCTGTTGCTGATGACACTCCTGAAAATTATTGGAATGTGCAAGAGATTTTTCAACTCATCAAGCTTCAAGAACTAATCCCATCAGAAGCTGCAGTAATTTCTTGCGATATGAAACTTGCAAACATTATTTGTGGCATCCAGTCTCATAGCAGCAAGCACCCTTGCTGTTGGTGTGATATTGAGTCTTCAATGCTTCTTCTGTGAGGGAATCCCCGATCCTTTGGAGCTATAAGAGCTCAACATCAAAGCTTTGTGGGTAGTGGTGGAGATGTAAGAAGATCCAAGGAGTTCCAAAATGCTGTCCACAGTCCTTTAATCTTTGGTCCTGATCAAGCATTGATTTTGGAGTTCATCCCACCTATGAAGCTTCATCTTCTGCTAGGGGTGGTCAACCATCTGTTCAAATGCTTAGTGCAAAAATGGCCAAAGGCCACAGAATGGCCATCTTCATTGCACATCAAGATTCAGCCTTTTCATGGAGGGCACTTCAATGGCAATGACTGCATGAAACTTCTGAGGAAAATTGACAAATTGGCTGAAATGGCTGAAAATGAGAGCACTTCTGAGCCATCTCAATTCATTCAGACATTCAAAGACTTTCACGAAGTTGTTTCTGCATGCTTTGGAAAAATTTTACATCCCAACTATGAGGAAAAAATCACCATCTTAAAAAACAGTTACATGAGTTTGGGAATCTCTGTTACTCCAAAGGTTCACACTGTTTTCCACCATGTGACACAGTTCATCAACCTGAAAAAAAAAAGCCTTGGTCTATACAGTGAACAAGCCACTGAATCACTGCATTCGGATTTTGGCAAGCATTGGGAGCGATACAAAAGATTGAACACCCATCCAGACTACTCCAGTCAACTCCTGAAGTGTGTCATTGATTAAAACAGCAAGAAAATGTAGAGTAGCTTGCTATGAGGCACTGACCATCATTGAACATGTTGCATTTTTGAGAATTTATTAGTTTATCTTTAGAATGTATTTAATTTGAAATAAATGTTTTAAGATGTATTTTTATCATTTGTTACCTTTGTTACCTTACCTTATTTTTATCATTTGTAACCTTGTTACCTTACTTCATAATATGGTAATTTAGGGCAGTCAAATATTTTTGGAGAAATTTTGCAATTTTTCAGGTTTGTAATTTAAAAGCAAAAACTTCAATGTTGAATAAGTCTTGCGGACGGTAATCCCGGATTTCAAAATTACTTGTTATGAGATCCCTATGATATGTACTAACACCCCTCAAAAAGATTTTCATAGGAGTTGTTTTTGGTATGAGGGTCCAAAATTTTCAAACTGTGAAATATTAAATATAAATATGTATAAATAAAAATAGACATAAAACAAAAATATTTAAAAAATAAGATATATGAAAAAAAGAGTAAAAAAAATGTTATTTAAGGGAATGTCTTTGTAAACGCTGATTAAGAGTATATATATATATATATATATATATATATATATATATATATATATATATATATATATATATATATATATATATATATATACACACAAACACATATGGAAATATTTAAACATACTTTTTTATTCCAGGCAATAAGTTCATCTTTCAATATAACTTTAAAATAACTGCTAATACTAAATTGAGGTTGAACCAGACACCTTGCCACAGCTATCATACAATGAGTCATTATTCCATTTACACCAACCGGAGTAATAAACTCACTAAGATTTGGCGTTAAACGAAATGGTACAGGTCGATTAGCATCAAGTTCACCTAAAAACACAAGTTTATAAAATCATAAAAAAATCCAACAGTTTGCATTAAATCAAAATATCATTCCAAATAAAAAACCTTTAACGTCATCAATATCAAATCTAAAGTAGTTAAAGGTAACTTTTCCACAATCACGTGCAATATTAATCATTTCAGGGTTTAAGCGAGTTAAATGCAAAACAAACTCAATAAGACCAGCTAAAGCAATTTGTTGAGTTAACTTTTTCCTAAAAGTCCAATATTCAGTTGCTGTAGGATATGTATATAAAGCCCATTCTTTAAACATAGTTTCAGGAACAAAACATGTTTGTACCTAAAATAAAAAATTTTAATATAAATTTCAATAAGTTAAAACAAAAATTTGGACAAAATAATTATATACCTCTTTTAGAATTTCTCTTAACGACTGATGATTGAATATATAACCTCTCTCTTGAATTTGAGCTAGTTTTTCATAATAAACAACTATTGGATGCTCTGAGTCTAAATTTCTTTTTTCACATCCTTCTTTGAAAATCTCATTCAAAGAAATAAATGAAGGATTGTCCTGTATAAAAAAATAATTTAACATTCATCTTTAGCAACAGCAAGAAATATGTAAAGAACATTATAAAATCTCTTATAACCTCTATAAGTCTCATCTGTGGTGAAACAGCAACAACTCTTGGAACTGTAAATTGTAAGCCCCTCCGACAAGTTTCTTTTCTCTTTTCAAAAAAGTGGTTAAGCATTCGCATTAGTTGTAAAACTCGCTCTTCTCGTCTTGATTCTGTAAGCCAAGCATCATTCACAACAAGATAAGGATAAAGTTTACCATTATGTCCGCGGATTGTAAGCCTTCTAGCAGAAAAATTATTGCGTTGAACAAGCTCAACACGAGGCATAAACTTTGAAATGCGTACATAAAATGCATTATGCTTGGAATAAAAGAAATTTAATTAAATACAAATAAAAATAATTATTAAATTATACAAATTGAAAACAAAAAAAGTATACAATGTTGTTCTCTTTTATATATATATATATATATATATATATATATATATATATATATATATATATATATATATATATATATATATATATATATATATTTATATATTTGATGTAAAAGCACTCGGTTGCCAGTCAGGCTATTTCTCAATCAATGTAGTAGCACTCCATTGTGAGTCAGGTTATTTGTCAGTCAATGTAGCAGCACTCAGTTGTAAGTCAGAATATAAGATAGTCGATGTAGTAATACTCCACGCATGTTTTACAGTTAAATAAAAACATTCAGAATGTTTTTATTTTAAAAAAATAAAATAAAATATTTAAAATGTTTTTAAAAACATTCTAGTCTTTTAACTTGTGGTTTAATTACTTCCTGCAATTAAATTAATGTGTTTTGACATAATCTTAGTTTAATCTTTAAAACCACAAACAAGCTAAGAGCCATTTTTTACAACAAACACGTAAAGTTTTGTTGTATTTTTAAAGTTTCTTAGCTGTAAAGTATAGGAATATATATATATATATATATATATATATATATATATATATATATATATATATATATATATATATATATATATATATATATATATATATATATATATATACATACACATATATATAATATGCATATATAATATATACATACATTATATATGTATATATATACATACATAATATATATATATATACATACATAATATAAATACATATATATATATATATATATATATATATATATATATATATATATATATATATATATATATATATATATATACAGGGGGGGGGTATATATATACAGGGGACATATATATTACAAAATTTCTATTTAATTTAACTAATAGTAAGATAAAAAGCAATAAAATTCTTTTAAAAAGTTTATTACTTCTTTTTTCAAGTTTATTTTTTATGCAGTAGGATAAATTAGCCAAATTTCAGTCAACATTCAGAAAGTTAAATTTGTTTCTGATGGGAATTTTTTTTCAATAGATAAGACTTTGTTTTCTATAAAAAAAAAAAAAAAAAAAAAAAAAAGTTTAACATAATATTTATTTCTTAAAATTAATTTAACAAGAAACAATTTTTGATATAATCTGTTATAATCAATGAGAAAACAATGAAAATCAAGGAGAAAACCAATTCATATATGAAAACTAATAAAAAGAAAAATATATCTATCGATTACTTAATATCGGAACCACCAAGTCTACACTTTTAGGTGCAAAAAAACTTCATGCCATGATAATATAGTTTTGGAGTACATATTTGGTTGCCAAACCACAATCGACAAGAATAGACATTTTCATAGTTCCTATAATATCATGAGCACTCAATCTTAATATTACATCATCATTTCTTATGCGCTAATTGCAATAAATTTTTTTCTTTTTTCATATTAAGACAAAAACAAAGTGAACAACTGTTTCTTTCGAGGTTACTATCTTAATTTATATGTGTGTTAACTTTTTTTTGTGCGATTCTGCGCATGATGTACTATTAATTATGTGCGGGCACAAAATTATAAGATTTGTGAAGAGGTTTATTTTTTTTCATATTGAACCATTGAATCATGGAATAGTAACAATAACAATATATTTATTGAAATGTATGTTTTGTTATAATATTTAACTGAAATTTGACATTGGTCTTGAATATATTGATGAACACATTTGATGATATAGTCAATGCTGATTGTGATGCTCTTGTGTTGGATCTTTAAATCTTTCTGCTGTTATTAATTTTGATAGGTCTATATTAGAGTTATTTAAAGTAAATAACTCTGTTTTTTTGAACGCACTGACTGCGTATGTTCTGGTGAAGCACTTTCATAATAAACTTGAAAATTAACTTTATCAACATTTTTGCATTTTGATAATTCATAATATGATTTTATTACATTTTTCAGGTAAGTTTAACGTAATAATATATTCCCATGTCCAGTAGCTGCAAAATATGACTTGAATGAGCTAGTAGGCACACAAGTGGACATTATTTTCTTTACATATTACAACAAATTTAAATAACACATGAGTACTGTGACCATCTAATACAAGAATGCATTTTTCCTTAATTGTTGTAACTGCTAGTATGAACAGCTGCTTAATAAATTAAGATTTCTCAATTTATCCTAAATCTGATCTTGTATACACTGTTATGGTTAGACTATTTTTGTACCATGATTGATATAAGTATCTTTTTGATTAATAAACAATGAAAGGACATATATAGAAGACGTATAACTGTGCCAATGCACTAGATTGGCGCAGTTTGGAGCTCTTGGTTGAGTAAAGGCTAAAGATGGTGTCTCAATAAAAATACTCATCTTGGGCAGATGTTAAACGCATCCGTCTACTGTCTTGGCAAAGACTTAACCAGCCTCACACTCTTTCTTCACCTATTAGGCTGGTACAGATGTATTTATAATACATTGTTTCCAGTTTAGGATGTTGAATGCTGGGTCTTATTGACTCAATGCATGGGTTTTGGTTGTATCACTGTTTTTATGACTAGGCAACTCATTATATTATCTCTTAATGAGGGTACACCTCTAAAACTCAGCTTTATGGTTCGGAGACCGGCTGGTAGTCAGGTTTCCCAAACTCTGTAGTAGTTCTCAGAAAGGTTGATTCCATCAACAGCTGTAAAATATCAGACTACTAACAGTGTCATGTTACGCATGGATGGTGCCCCTGTTCATAATTTTGGTGTGCATTATCGAGGCCACATTTGGAGCTCTTTGTTAGGGTTTATTAATAGTAATGAGGCAATTGCTTGGACTATTAAATAGCGTACTGAGCACTATTTAATGCTCATTTAATGCTCATCACACTGAATGACATGGCTCGCGTGTCAGTGACTCGTAGGCATTAAGGTTCACAGCTTTTGTCTTTCAATCTCTAACTCAAATAGTCAACTTTCCAACTCGCTTTCCAGACTACCTTAATCATTTACCTTCTCTACTCAGTTATGTCTTGCTTCTAATCTTAGTCAGTGCTTATACATTTATCCCTAGGTGGTTCTGATTACAGTTTGATCCCTCTAAAACTATTATTTTATTTTTCTTCATCATCAGAATCCCCCTATCATCATACCTCTTACAACTACCTTAAAGTTGACTGGAACTCTTTCTGAGATTGTCTTTGTGAAACCCTTTGGTCAGAAATCTTTTGCCTTCCTCTAAACAATTGTGTTTCTTACATAACTTTATGGATTCGGGCAGGCATATAATCTTTTATTCTCTCTCGATGATTCCAAGTCAAGCTTCACCCTTCTCCATGGTTTTGCTCACATTGTGTTACTAAAACTTCCAATTGAAACTGTTACTTCCATATCTATCATCAAAACAATTCTCCAGAAAACAAGCGTCTGTTTACTATTGCTACAAACCATTGTAAAAAGGTTTTGTGTAACATCAAAGCCTGCTATTCTCAGGTCATAAAATCTTTTATTTTATCTAAAAAATCAGGTTCTCATGACTTAAAGAGAATCTTTAACAGTATCAATGATAAGGGGAAATCTGTAATTCCACCTCTTTAGTATGGTTCAGATTTTGTCACCTCACCTAAAGACAAAGCTGAATTGTTTGCTAAGAACTTTTCATCATCTCTTGATTCTACTAGAGGCATTCTACCTGATATAGCCAACAAACAGGTTGATCCATTGCTTGATATTCATATCATTCCAGCTTCTGCATATCAGAGTCTTGTTTTCCAGCCTGCTGGAAAGCAGCATCTGTTATACCTATTTTTGAAAATTCTGTAGAGCAATCTGACTTGTCTAACAACCGTCCCATCAATATTCTTCTGATCATACCGCCCCATCAATATTCTTCCTATCATACCATCCCATCAATATTCTTCCTATCATACTGTCCTATCAATATTCTTCCTATCATACCGTCTTATTAATATTCTTCCTATCAGAAGGTTTTTGAATCTTTAAATAACAAACACTTAATCATTCATCTTTAATCTAATAAATTACTTTCTAATCATCAATAAGGATTTCAATCTTCTTGTTCTACAGCTCATTTGCTAACAGTAATAACTGATAGGTTTTATTGTGCATTAGATAAAGGTGGATAGGTTAAGGCTATCACTCTTGACATTTCTAAAGCTTTTGATAAAGTTTGACATGCTGGTCTCCTCCATAAGCTTTCTTCTTACGGTGTATTAGGTAACATCTTTAAGATTATTGAATTCTTCCTTTCCAATCATTCCAATAAAAGTTGTCCTCAATGGACAGCACCCTTCTCCATATCCTGTAACTTCAGGGTTTCCTCAAGGTTCAATCTTTGGCCTTATACCCTTTTTAATTTACATTAACAATATTCCAGATATTCTCACATCTAAGGTGGCATTGTTCGCTGATGACACTATCATCTATTCTTGTCATGATAAGAAGCCAACACTCTCTAATTGCTTGGAGGGGGCGTTTAACTTAAAAAGAATCTCACTTCTGCTACAGTATGCGGTTCACAGTGGCTGGTGAACTTTAATTTAGATAAAATCCTTAAATTTTTTTCAGCCAATCATTACGACAATAATTTAGATCTTTCTATATTTATGAACAGTAATGTAATGGATGAGTCATCTACCCTTCATCTTCTAGGATTAACTCTTACTTCAAATCTTTCTTGAAAACCATATATCAAATCAATTGCAAAATTACTATCTACTAAGGTTGCATCTTTTTATTGTGCTCGATTCTTTATTACTATGGATTCTATTCTTTATCTCTATAAATCATAATTCTGTCTTTGTATGGAATACTGTTACCATATCTGGGGCGGATCTTCCAATGATCCACTTTCTCATTTAGACAAGGTGCAAAAACGCATTGTAAACATAGTTGGACCTGCTTTTGCAGCCAATTTCCAACCATTATCACATAGTCGTAATGTTACTTTTCTAAATTCTTGTGCTACTCCTCATTCAATCAAGTCTCGTGTTTTTTCTGTCACTGTTTCTAAGTGCTCCAAAATATTTTATTGTCTAGTTTTTTTTCCTGAACATCAGTTCTTTGGAGTTTGCTTCCTTGTTCTTGCTTTTCTGATTCATATAATTTGCAATCTTTTAAATCGTCTGTCAATCATTATCTTGCTCTATAAACTTCATCTTTTCTCTTCCAGTAACTTTCAATTCTAATAGTGGTTGCTTGCAGCCTTGTTGGAAGCGAAGATATTGAAAAAAAAAGTTGTTTACAGTATAATTAATTTTTCATTTTTTCCAAAAAGTTTGAGAGCACACTTTGTTCCTTTTCAGCATAAAATTGAAATTTTTCTTGGGCCACCACTAAAATCGCACTCAACAAAGTTCCAAATATGTGAAGCTTTTAAGTTATCCATTTTGGCTTCATAGTATTGTTTCTTGTAATTGCTAAAATATTTTTTAGCAATTACAAGAAACAATTATGGTGGAAGTGCAAAGTGATGCTCTGTTTAATACAGTGTTATCTGGTCTGCCTAACGCTACATCATGTTTCCATTTGTCTTTAAAATCATACCACTGCTGTAATAAAGGTTTGCCATTTTTGAATAAATGCTCTTGTTATCTGTTATCAGCTCTGCATGATACTACATCATGTTTTCATCTCTCTATAAAATCATTTCACCTCTGTAATGAATGTTGCCATTTTTGAATAAATGTTTTTGCCTTGTGTTTTTCAAATAATGTTGAACAGTAGAAATTATATTGGCTTTTGTCAAACCATGACCCCAATCACTAAAACATTGAACTAAATGAATTAATAACTTTTCAGTTTTAATTGTAGAGCTTTTGCTGTAGACCTTTTGCTTCGTCGATTTTGGTGCATTGAACTTGAATGCACACTTTCTTAATGATATTCCTTGCACTCGATGATGTTTCAAAGCATGTTTTCAACAAATACTTTGCTGCAGTTGTTGTTTGGCATTTTATTGATAGTAATGGTTTTTAATTTTTTGTATCAGTTTGCAGGAGATAAGATTAGAATTAGCATATTAAAAGAGAGAAAATGCATTCTTTTTATGAAAAGAGAAAAACAGCATTCTTTTTATAGAAATAGAAGAGAAAATAATACATTATATTCAGAGTATTTTTAAACATTTAAAATTTTTTTTTATTATTTAAAATTTAGGAAGTTTAATATTAGTAAATATAATTGATGCACCAAAATTAAACAAAAACATTTTTAATAGATAAAAATATTTCATGATAGATATCATCTTACTCTACATTGATCTGCTTTTATATTATGATATTTATGAAAACTTTTTGTTTAAATAAAACTCAAGTAAAAGTGATAGACTTATTCAGTGACTGAAAATATAATAACTTATACAATCATTATTATAACATACATTGTAATAATAATAATAATAATAATAATAATAATAATAATAATAATAATAATAATAATAATAATAATAATAATAATAATAATAATAATAATAACATATAATACATATAACTGACATAACCTATATACAATATACAATGCATATTATAAAAATAAAAATTGTACATAAAAACAACTTGAGAAAGTTTTATAATAAACTTACTGTAGTAGATTTAGGCATTAAAAACTCCCCTGGTAACTCTACTTCTGCAGTGGATTGTGAGAAATTACTGATAAAACGACATGTTTCCTCTAGAAGAAATGAGCTGGGCATTACTTTTGCTTTAGCTTCTAAAATCTTTATCCACTTTTTTAACTTCATTATTAACACATGTAGTTTTTTTGAGTTTGGTTGGCTTTAAAAATGAAAAAAAAAAAAAAAATTATTTTTGAGTTGGGTTCGCTTCACAGATAAAAGAAATAATTTATTTTTGAATTTGGCTTCATAAAGAAAAAAAAAAAAAAATATATGAAATGAGTTTTAAGTTTAAAAATTATTACTTTAATGTAACAATTTTTACTTTTTAAATAAAAATTTATTTTTGAATTATAAACTGTTTAATGTTTCTTCTCTACCATAATTATGGTAGAGGTGGTATGGGTATGAGCACACCCACGCTGAACCAGATTTTAGTTTGATGAAATGACATAGGGTTGTGTCATACCTTTTTGAAATAGTTAGAACCATACCATTCAGTGAAAGTTAGTGAAAAAAATCATAAAACTAATCTTTAAAAAATATTTGGGTTTATACAGGGGTCAAATAGGGTCCGGAACTTAAGCGCCCCTCTAACTGATATCAAGACCCACCACAGGGGTGTATGCAATTGTTGTACATTTTGTCCGAAAATATGACTAGTCGTTATATGTCCCCCTCAGATGGGTCTTAAAAATAGTCTGAGGGGCGCCAATGCCAGGTACTTTTTTCTTCTTAAAATTAAAAGGAAAAAAAACATTATTTTTAGAAAATATTTATTAAACATTATTTAAATGTTTTCCACTGAAACTAACTACTGCTTTTTTCAAATACTTTGCATACTTTTGATGGTTATCAGACACTTGGAAACGTTCACATGCTTCCTTTAGAAATGAGTAGTGAAGAGCTTCCCCTGCTTGTTCACTAAAGAAACCCAATCCAATGTCCTTATCTTTACAAAAAGGACCTACATGTTGAAATATGATGTGTAACTTCACAGTAACTGTCATTTCATAATCTTCCACTAAGGTTGAATAATGATTCTTAAATAACCTGATGTCTTTTTCAAATGTCGGCCTTAAATTTACACCAAAACAAGAGTGAACAAGGTTATCCAGAAGCCTGAACACTTCAGCCGATGGTTTTAATAGGACTGGAAACAAGTTATAGTACTTCACCCAATTTTTTAATATTTTTCGACAACCATTACCAATATTTAGGTCATTTTCGATCTTTTTTAATAGTACTGAATCAGCTAATTTGTTTATTGTTTTAAAGATATGGTTTGTTGCCCCTACCATCAAATGAAGTTCTGGAGAAAGATGATTAACAACTAGATCATTATCATTACCAATTAGAAGAACTTCATCAATACAGCTAAAATATTCTTTTGCTCTAATTTTCTTTGATACGCTCAATTTATAAAATTTACTGCTTAATCTTAGTGTCCTAAGTATTCATAGCTCAGTGCAATCCTTTTTAAAAACCTCTGTTCTGTTCCATGTACAAATATAACACGGATGAGCTGCCATGGAACTCAGAGACATACCACACATGACTTGACAGAGTTTGATATCTGCTACACAATTAAAGTTTATTTTATCTAAACAGAGTTTGTTAAGCAGAATTTTAACATTATGGTTTGTCTCTGGTACATCTGGTACCAGTGCTATAATAAATGATGCTTTCACAGATCCTTCCTTGAAATTTGGTAATTTAATTTCTCCATATTTTCTCCTTTTGTTTTTAATCGTTTCACTAGGATTTGATACATTTAAGCAAACCTGAATATTTTATAATAAATTACACTTATTATTATTTTTTAATTAGAAAAAAAAGTGGCACATTATAAAATCAAATTACCTTTAGAAATCCCCGACCTCCGTCAATGGAAATTTTTATATACTGGTTTTGAGGATAGGCTCCTTTTTTATCAATTATTTGCCACAGAATTTCATTGACATCTGTTGTTCTGATAATTGGGATCAGTTTAAACAAACTTTTTTCCTCTACAGATTTAAGATTAAAAAGTTCAAAATTCTCAACAAAACAATCATCAAGTTGCTGGTCAATACATTTGAGCTCTGCTGCTAACCATGATTGTACAATTTTTCTGTTTTGTGTTTTGAATTGTAATTCTTTTGCTAGCTTTAAAATTTTTGTGTTACTTAATTCTAAAGTTGATTGTATGTCAATCATACTGTTTATAGACAGTTGTTGTATATTACTAGTATCATGGTTTCTCTTAAGTGTAAAACTTACTTTTTTACTACCAGTAGCAAGTATCACTTTACCCTTTTTGTCTATTTTGTCTTTTATTAAAGAATTAGCTATTTGCTCAATTGTCTTGACATTATTTGCAAGCTTTTGCATTACATTACATTTAAGTACAGCTAAATAACTTTTGTGGCTAATTTTTCTGTTTTGTGTTTTGAATCGTAATTCTTTTGCTAGCTTTAAAATTTTTGTGTTACTTAATTCTAAAGTTGATTGTATGTCAATCATACTGTTTATAGACAGTTGTTGTATATTACTAGTATCATGGTTTCTCTTAAGTGTAAAACTTACTTTTTTACCACCAGTAGCAAGTATCGCTTTACCCTTTTTGTCTATTTTGTCTTTTATTAAAGAATTAGCTACTTGCTCAATTGTCTTGACATTATTTGCAAGCTTTTGCATTACATTACATTTAAGTACAGCTAAAGAACTTTTGTGGCTAATTCCTTTGCTAATAATTGAAAATCAAGTTTGACAAGTTAGACTATTAAATGGAGGTTGCGCATTACATATACGTCCCTTAACTATAATCCTATAACTTTTTAGGTCTCCCTTGAGTAGATCCAATTATACATATTTTGCATTTACATACAAAAATACTTCTAATTTGAACTGGTATTTTCATTTTATTCCACTTTACGTGTAAAGCTCTTTTCCTCTTCTTATACTGCTTTTGCAAGATTCGCAAAAAGCTTTAGGATAGAATGAATTTTTAATGTTGTATTTAAAATTCACTACATTTTTAATCCACGGTACATTAATATCGTTAGGTTTATTTGTTTTTTTGGCACAATATAAACACACTTTTCTCCTGTTTTCCTCATGAGTACAGGTCGGTTTAAGTAAACTCATTCTATCTAGAAAAATAAAACAATTTAAGAACACAGAGAAAACACTTTTTTATTATACCTAAAATATAAAGATTTATATACCATATAAAAATTCTTTAAAAAATGTTTCAAACACACTATACAAATATAACATAATATAATACAAATATAAATGCTGACTATTACAGTATATAGGTTCCTTATTAAATACCATTTAACATTACTTACAAGCATTATTTATTATACTTCAATTTTTAAAGTTAAAACAAAATGAAAATATGCAGAATTAAGAAGTTTGGTTACACATGTGGCAATGATGAGTTGCGGTCTGTTTTGTATTGTTTAGTATAAAACTATTGTTCTGTATAAAACTACTGTACAATATTTGTATGCTTTTTTATTTTATTTTTTCAATGAAAACATATTTGACTAGATTGATTAAGTGATTTTTGATATTTTGTCTAAAGTAAAATATATTATTTGTTCTTTATAAACTTATTTATAAAGTTTAATTTAAAAAAGTAAAATTTTCGAAATTTGATATGCCTGAGCTGCGAATCGATGTCTTTTAGTGAAAAAAGAACCTTACTTTTTTTTTTTTAATTTAAATGGGTTTTAAAGGTTCCTCTTTGGATTCTAAATTTATGACGGATCCTAATATTGTTGAAATTTTTTTTCTTCTAAACTATATCAACCTGGTACTCAAAAGAAGCAGAATAATATGCTTATTTTAAATATATTTATTTTAATTCAAAACTAAAGAGAAAAAAAAATGCAGTTTTTTTCATTAAAAAACCCCTGTCTTCATCCAAACGGGGGTTTTAAGGTATATTTTTGCAAATATTTTTTTCACTAACAATTTTTTTTTAATAAAATTATTATTGATGAAACAAGCATTTTTTTCTGCTTTTTTATTATTTTAACATAACACTTTAACTCTTCAAGTCTTTAATTTACTTGTTTGAAACTTTTGGCTAATAATTCTAAAACTGTTTATTGTAAGTTCATATGTTAATCTTAAAGTAATGTTTATAATATTTATTTATTACATGGTCATTCAATATCAAATCATCATCATTATGATAATCAAAATAACAAAAAAAAAAACAACAAAAAAAACAAAAAAAAAAACATCACCCTTACGCATCAAAATTGGTTTATTTTTACTTTATTTGTAGCCCATAATAAATAATTCTCAAAAATTTCAACTAAAATACACCTTAGTTCTTGCATATAGCATTAAAAAAAATGCTGATTCAGTATTTTTTGAAACTGACTATATATACAGCAAAAAGCAACTTTGACATGATAGCTTGATAATAATTTAGGATTTTTTTTTAAAATTTGGAATCCAATAGATATTTGCTCAAAAAAATTAAAAACAGCTGCCTCAGATTAGATAGTCACAAGAGATTCCTTGTTTGTCTAATTTTATTCAAAAATCTTAACTTAAGAAAATTTTTGTAATTATTAATATTATTTATTAAAGTTTATTTATTCAAAAATATTGACAAAAATATAGTAGAAAATTATATAAAAAATTAAACTACTCCTTGAACTTTTTTTCATTTTTATTTTAATAACACCTGTGCTACATTTAAAAAACAACTTGAGATATTTAAATATCTTTTGTTATAAAATTTTAAAAATAAAAATTTTCATAATTTGATGAAGTATTAAAGTGACATGTATGAATTTTATCAGTAGAAAAAATAAATACAATAACTTTCTTACAAAAATATTGGATGACAGACTTCATTGTAGTTCTGTAAGTCAATAATTAGCAGGTCTACTTTTTCAAATAAAATGGGATAAACAATAAATTTCCTAAGATTACTAATAGCAAGTGACCCGGGGTTGATATTTGACCAGAGCCAGGGCCAGGTTTGATAAAATATAGCCGGGGCCAGCTTTGTGACTGGGACTGCATAAACATTTATATATTTTTGATTGAAAAAACATATTATATTTTTGTATATATTATGATCATCATAATTATCGTTAATCATAATGATCACCATCATCATCATCATCATCATCATCATCATCATCATCATCATCATCATCATCATCATCATCATCATCATCATCATCATCATCATCATCATCATCAACAGCATAAAAGCATAAGGCTAAAACCTGATGATAACAATCATCATGATCAATATGGCAAATACTACAACTTAAAAATACTAAAGTTTATATAACAATGAAAGGATATTGTATGCTAGCATCTAAGTAAATAGCAAGCAGGTATGTTTATATCTTGGAAGCTTCTATTCCTTTATTTCTTCTGGAATAAAAGCTTTTTATTCCTTCTCTTTAATTTTAAATCAAGTTTCAATTTTAAATTTTTGCTAAACTTTTAAAAAGTGCTAAATAAGTGGCTCCCATTTTTCAAAACTCTAGAAAACACTTTGACTTCTTTAACTATCTTACGATTAGTCTTCACTCTGTTATTAATTTTTTTACATAAAGGTTTTGCGGTTATTAAATTATTTCTTTTTAACTGCAGTAGTAAAGATATTCTTGAAGGCCTACCCTCTTCTTTATTTCAAGTAACTTTAAGGGTACCACAATGATTTATCTATTTCTTATCTGCCATCTTCATGAAATCTAAAGCGACTTTGTTTGCTGACGACTCAACTTTATCTACTTGACTTGACAAAAAATCTTTACTTTTTGATTTCTTAGAACAAGCAGCCAATTTTTAATCTGATCTCTCTTCTGTAAAAGCCTAAGGCTTGCAGTGGCTTATGGATTTAAATTCTGGACTTAAAATCCATAACTTTTGTTAGACAACAAAACTCATTTATTAACTTTTTTTTTTTTTTAAACATCTTCGTTTCTAACAAGGCTGCAAGCAACCACTAATTAGAGTTCGAAGTTACTAGAAGAGATGAAGATTGTAGAGCAAGATAGCAATTGACAGACAACTTAAAAGATTGCAAATTATATGAATCAGGAAAACAAGATGAAGGAAGCAAATTAAAAAGAACTGATGTTAAAGGAAAAAAACTAGAGGAATAAGAGTTTTTGGAGCATTTAGGAACAGCCACAGAAAAAGGATGAGACTTAATTAAATAATGAGTAACACGAGAATGAATTTTAGTAGATGGCACAAGAGACGCTTTAGAGCAGCCATTATAGTGTTTGTAGAAAAGAGAAAGAGTAAAAGCAACATTGCGATGATGCAAAAGAAAAAGCAACATAGCGAAAATGTGATAATGAATGAAGTTGGCTGTAAGAGCAGGTCCAACTATGTTTAATATGCGTTTTTGCACCTTGCCTAAAATAGAAAGGATATCATTAGAAGATACGCCCCAGATATGGGGTAACAGTATTCCATTATTAACTGCGAAAAAATACTGCAAAATTGTTGGAATTCCTATATTGACAAATAACAACTCTCTTACTCTCAGACAAAGTCTAAAAGCACATTATAAATGTAATTAGACTTGCTTTATCTGCCAAGCTTGAGCCACTCTCCAATTATTGCAAGGTTATATTTCTTACTTTATTCTACAAATAAAATTATGGTTAATGCTCAAACGAGCTATTATCTCTATAACAATAAACCTAAACTCATTCTTGCTTGACTATTTTTATTCAACAAGTTACATCCTTTTACTGTATCTGTCCTTTCATGCTATAAAAACTTTTATTAATCCAGTTTTTTTTTACTAGAACATCAAATAAACCTTACAACTCTTACCTATCTTCATGTTTTCCTTTTTTATACAACTTACAACTTTTTAAGTCTTCATTTATATGTTCCTTAGTATTTTAACTTATTCTCTATTTTAAAGTAACTCATAACTTAATAGTGGTTGCTTGTAATCTTGCTGGAGTTTAAAAATATATAAATGTATGCCAGTATTTAACAAATACTGGCATACATTTATATGTAAGGATAAAATTATAAAATATTACATAATATAAATTTTTTTCTAGCCCCAGCTATCAACCCCTGATAAATCTTATAATTTTGCCGGGGCCGGGTTTGCAAAAACTCTCATTTTTAGCTGGGGCCCTGGTCACTTACTAACTACCAAGTCCTGAGGATATATTTTTAAAATACTTTCAAAAAAATATATTAAGGTTTCAAGTACTAGAAAAATTGTCTCAATTCTTTTTAAGCTATTAAACGTCAATATTATTTTTTTGGTCCTTCACATTACCACTAAAATGCTGAAAAAGCATTAATTCAACTAAAATTTAATTTAGAAAAATAAACTATACTATTTTACAATTACTATTTTCTTTAAGTCAAATATTATGGGTAGAATTTGCTTAAACTCTTAGAAAATATTATAAGAGATAATATATATAACTAATCAAGTTTAGAACTAACATTCATTGTACATAACATAAACTAATAATGTTTAAAACAATAAAACACACAATAAAACATTCCATGCTATATTTTTATTTACTTTAAAAATATTGACATTTAGTCTTGCTTTCTAAACTACTCTTCCAAAAAATATGCAAAAAGAGCTAACTCATTCAGTATTGTTTTAAAAACAAATATAATTAAAATAATCTTAAATACCTAAAATCAAAGTCAGCACTAAACTGTCCTTTTAATTTTTGAAAAACGGGATCTTGTGCAGTTATTTGAGCTCTGCGTGCTAGCGATTCAGAGGCAGCAGATGAAAAAGTTTGAGAAATATTTGAAGCACTTTCAAAACCAATACCAAATGTACTAACTAATTTGTTGACAAAACTCAGAGTGCGTGGCGTTATTTGTGCATTATTTACTATTAATAAAAAAACAATAGCCCTATATTATAACAGGTTTTATAAAAAACCAATACAAAGATTAAAAATTAACAAGCATACTATTTCCTCTTTGCTCAAACGCAACTTGATAACACTTTGCTAATCCTTGGCGTAATTGGCGCAAAACGTCTTCATGCCAGCATTCACGAAACCAAACCATTTGATCAACAATACCCTCTAACGCAGAAAGAAGTGTTGGATGAAGATCACGAAGCATATGCATGATACGACTGCATCTCCACATTTGAGGCGGAGCTCTAATTAATCCACCACTTCCATTTGTTGATGTTGCAGAGCTGGCTTCTGATGCAGTAGTTGATGCTACTTTTAAAAATAGTACATGTGTTTAATAATATTTCTATTAATAACCTGCATACCAATAACCCTTTTAAATAATTTTCTCTTATTTTAATAATCTCTTGCTTTTTAAATAACATCTCTAATACATTTCACTTGACTGGCTTTCCTCACTTTTCTGGCTTGATATCCCTCACCTAATACATTTCACTTGACTGGCTTTCCTCACTTTTCTGATTTGACATCCCTCACCTAATACATTTGACTTGACTGGCTTTTTTTTTAAAACCCTAGGTAAATTCTTTTAAATGGTTAAATTTTTTTTACTATTATATTATCCACAAAAACAAAAACAAGAAAAAATAAAACAAACACCAAAACAGAAAAAATAAAATCAGTACTTGTATTTATATGAGTTGAAGCAGTTTTGCTGGTTGAAAGCTTATCAGAAGCTTCAGTTGTAAGTGTTGAGATGTTCGATAAACTTGAAGGAGCAATAGTGCAATTTACAGTATTAGAAGATGCTGCTAACTTGAAGTTTCAAAAAAATATATATGCGTTAAACAATCAAAGAAAGTAATCATAAAAGTTACAAATAAACAAACATTTACCCGAGCTGCTATTGTTGCTGGTGTAACAACATCACTTGATGCTGGAATAGTAGTTACTGAACTACTTTCATCAACAACTGATTCTGATACTGAACTAGGTACAGTTTTTGTTATTGTTTCATCTTCATTTGATGTTGATACTACATTTATTCCTGATGGCCCAGAAGGAAAACCAGGAGATGTCTTGCCACCCTGAACTAATCCTAGTTTGTATTTTTCTCGCTGTTCTATCTTTAATGTCAAGTACAAAGTTCGTATTGGAAAGTAAACAGCTTGTGGAAACACTCTACCAATAGAAAAAATTAAATTTAAAACTCTTTGACCTTCTTTTCGTACAAGGCATGTTAACAATTGTGGAATCCATGCTAACCAATGAGCAGGATGAACACCTATGTAGTATTTTTCTAATGTATCTGCAAGAATCGCTTTGTCATCATCATAAGTTAACAACCACAATGACCTTGCTAAATATTTTCTACATTTTGCCTCATGATTGCTGCGACATGCATGGAGATAACATATTAATGCATATACACCAAGTGTCATATTTCGATCACTAACAAATAAACTATCTAGATAATCACCCCAGAGTGCCCATGCTTTTACCAAAGTGTCATGCATTTGAACTGCATCTGAAAATGCTTTATTAGCTTCTTCTGATCGACCTACCTACAAAACGAAAAGTTCCTTAATGACAACTGCCTAATAATTACTTTTATAATTATAAACACAAATGGTATAATATAAAATTTTTAAAAAAATATAACTTTCATTAACCCTATTAAGTTATAAAAATTACTAAACGTAGACTTAAATAAATTTTTTGAAGTCTGAATTTTTTAAAAATATTTTGAACTAGACCCAGAAGGTTGATATAGTCAACAAGACTACTGTTTTTTGTTGTTGTTATTGTTATACCCCTCTTTATATATCAGGGGTGAGGTTGCATAAGCTCAATGAGAGCCGATTGTTAGTTTTTGCTATTGTTAGCTAGCTCAGGTATGTATCAGAAACAAAAGCACTTTCCCGCGGAAACGGCATTTATGTATGTAACCGTATTTATGTTTTTTAGTCATAATTGTAAGTAATAGTGATAATTAAACTAATAATCAAATAGTGATAAAAATTACATAGGTGATGCACTATAATGATATTAAAAGCAACACACAATCTAGATAAGTAAAGATAATAATATAAATATAAAATATGAAGAAAATACAAAAAGTGACAAGCCAAAAAAAATAAAACCGTGAAGGCTGTGTATATAAGTCTAGTGTGGAAAATAGTCATAACTCCCTAGTCCCAACATAAATAATTTACAAAAAAATGCAAAAATATGCATCAAAGGACTAGACCGAGCTGTCAAGCCTAAGTGAAATAAGGAGAAATTAAAGGGATCCCAAACTCCCAACACATGTTGTGTTCATATTAAAGATAATGTTAAAAAAAAAGGTTTGAACCTTTTTTTTTAACATTATTTATTTCTAACCAAAAAGTTTTTTTGTTTAAAAATAAATAATGAATGCATACCGAGAAAAACTAATGTTGTTGTTTTAGCCGAAGCTCGCCTTCTCCATTTTTTTCAATAACTCGGAGTCTTTAAATTATAGGTCGCAATCTACAGACTTTGGCGATTCCTTTGAAGTTTAATTCATAAAAGTTTTGGCATTTGACATCACAGTAGATTTTTAACAAAAGAAAAGTGTAATTAAACAAAGCTGCGTTTTTCTATTTTAATTCAAATTTAAATAAAAAAAATTCAAATTTAACATACAGCAAAACAACTTTTACAACAAATTTTTGTAAAAATCAAAAATAATAAAAGCTTTTTATTTCATAAGAGGAACTTTTTTTTACCAATATCTTAATAACTTTTGGATTTATATATCTTATATTTCTTTTGTTTTTAAATTAAAACAAATATTAAAGCTTTACTTACGAATCTTATGATTTTCATGAGTGTTTTACATTATATAGAACGTTATGTATACGGTCTTTCGTTTTTCTGCAAGAGAGCGCAGTATTATATATTCTGAATCTTACTTATTTTTATTTAAACAATGGGAACTTTTTTCTAACTTCTCTGGTTATTTTTACGCTACGATATTTTTTGTTTTCCCGTCAAAAAAATATATTAACAATTAATTTCATAAACTGACAGTATTAATTAGATACTTGATGAATTGTTAACTTTTTTTATTATAAAAATTTTTTGATTACGCTGATTTATTTTAAATTGCTAAATTTGCTAAGTTGGATACGGATAAAAAGGAAATATCATTTTATTTTACATTTGATTTTTGATAATGAAACTTTTAAAATGTCGGCAACTCTATAGCAATTAGAACCTGTTAAGGTTATGAAAAAAAAGTACAAGAATACACAAAACAATACAGTTGACAGTAGTATCAGATATGAAAATTCGTGAAAGGATATGTGAGATCCTGGTTTTGCATTAAAAGTACAATTAATAGCAACACAAGTCGGCATTATAAATTTTGATTAAGTTTACTGTTCAATATTTTATAACCATCAAATAAAAAACATGAAATTTGTAAATTTTCGCCCGTTTTATACAACTAATATTTAACAAAAATATGGACAAACTATTATTATATAACACAATAATTAACACATTAATTAATGGCAATAATTCAAGATAAATGGTAGTTTAAATTGTCAAAATGTCAATAAGCGCGTTAAAAAATATATTATATTTGGTATTTCCCAACTTGTATCGTATTTGGCATTTGTCTCTTAACATGAAAAATTTAAAATATTTTAAAACACAACATATACAAATTTTCAAGCAATTTTCTTTTCCAAATTTATTCTTCTTCCAAATTAATTCTCATTTATTCAAAGAAAATTTACTATTAAACTTTTATTTCTCTTATCTAAAAAAAGAACGAGTGACGCAAAAAAAAAAAAATTCTATACAACTCTTATTCATTTGAAATTTAATTATGCGAAACTTTTCTTTCTCTTTTGTTCTACTCTTTTATAAAAAGAGCGAGTGATGAAATAAAAACTTTTCTTTCTTAACATAAATTTATACTTAGAGATAAAATTAAATTAGAAATAAAGCAACTAACAGATTAATCTGGGACTACTTTGATATTAATGAAAATAATCAACATAAACAACATTACCAACAGCAATTATCAAATAAACAACAAAATATCGCATAATTTTAGGGTTTTTTTTATTTTTATTGTTTAGTCGTTCTAAATAATAAGTAAATTTAGTTAAAGTTAATATTTCAATATTTACAGTTGCAATATAATAAAGAAATGATGTTTAATGTTGAACTTTTTATTTGATTATTTATTTTTTACCTTCATTTGTTATTAAAAACCCTGTCATTAAAATAATTTTTTTTGAATATATTTCAAAGTGATTATTCAAACTAATTTTTTTTGCTTGACTTCCCGAACTTCATGCAAGGCAAATTGAGACGAAATATTATCTAACCAAACATAAATGCTTTTACTAATTTTATAAGGGTAATTAATGTAAAACAATTTTTTATCAGAGTCTTGATTGAGATAATAAATATTCATAATTTATAAACATTAAATACATGGCGCAATAACAATTTATAGCAATGAACCAGCATAAAATATTTGAGGTTTTTAATATCTTTTTAAATGTTAAAAATAGAAAAAAAAAAACTGAACAAATAATCAAAAAAAGTTCAAATAAAAATAAATAAAAATATTTCCAGAGTTTCATTTGTTAAAAGTTTACCGTGACGTCAAATACTAAAACTTTTATAAATTAAATGCGCTTCAAAGGAATCGCCAAAGTCTGTAGATTGCGACCTATAATTTAAAGACTCCGAGTTATTGAAAAAAATGGAGAAGGCGAGCTTCGGCTAAAACAACAACGTTAGTTTTTCTTGGTATGCATTCATTATTTATTTTTAATCAAAAAAACTTGGTTCAAACCTTTTTTTTTAACATTATCTTTAATATGAGCACAACATGTGTCGGGAGTTTGGGATCTCTTTAAGGAAAAGAAAAAGGATAAAATAATTAAAAATATATCTTGAACAGATAGGTAAAATACAATGAGGTTTATTACAGTAAATACAATTATGAGGAAAAAAAATACAAATAATCATTTTAATATTAAAAATGCAACAACAATTAATGAAAACTTTTGTTCAAATCTTAAAAATTTGTTGTATAATTAGTTGTTCCAGCAATTTGATGATTGGTTAGTTGTGAACGGTATTTTGTTTTCACGAATTTCATAATGGAATATAAAGATTCACACCAATGTTGTAACAAAAAAAGAAATGCAATTGCAATCAGCTTTTTTTTAAATTTGGACATTTTGATTCTGATTCAAACATTGACATAATTTATGCTATAATTACAACACCTGATCTTCTTTCATTTATAATAGCTCTAATTCCACAGCCGCTTTTTCCACCAGTATTATTTCAGAAACTGGAAATCTGCCTTAAATAATATCAGAAATGGATTCACAAAGAATGTATATTTAAAACTTTTCAAATCTTCAAACCTACATTTGTAAATCATTATTCCAGACAACGGTATTTAGAAAAAAAAACTATTCAAAAAATCTGTATTATAAAATATTATGTATTTAAAAAAAAGTTTTGAATAAAAAAAAATTATTCAAAACTTTTTGAATAATATTTTTTTATTCAAATAATTATTAGCTAAAAAAATAATACAAGTAAAACTTTATTTTACAACTTGATATTTTAAATTTTTGTTTGTTTTGTTATGATTGATTTTATTAAAAAAAAAAAGAAAAAACATTCATTGATACAAACTTTTAATGCCATCTTATAAAGAGTTTATTTTTTTTATAATTAAAAAAAAAAAACTTTTTATGGATATAACTCTATTATTAATTTTTTTGCTTGAATTTACAGTTAAAGCAATATAGCTCTTGCAATGTCTTCATCTATATTTATAAGTTTTATTTTGCAAAAAATAACAGTCTAACAAAAAATATTTTATAATAGTTATATTAGCTTTATATAATTAACAGATTGTGCGATATCAAAAAAGTGAAAACAGAAACTTCCTTATAATTTAAAAAAAATTTTGATTAAAAAAGTTAAATTAAAAAAAAATTGGTTGTTTTTTTTTCTCGGTTTTTCTTCCTCCTTATCAATTTTTTACAAAAAATTAAATTTCTAGCAAACATTATACAACTTATAACACTGCATCAAAAATATTCATAAAGCGCATGTTAACATTTTGGTCATAATACAACTGAAAGCGCAACGGAATATATTATTTAAATAAATGGTACTTGAAAACTTAAATCTTTGTTTGTCACAAAAAAAAAGCGCTGATAAAATAACTGACTTTTTTTTTTGCAACAAGTAATATTTTTCGTCTGTTAATAACTTTTTAAAAGTAAAAAATCATTATTTGCGAAGTTGCAATTTTAAGAAAGTGAAAAAAAAAATTAACATACTTAATTCATTAATATTTGTATATGTCCAGAAAAGAAATAAACCAATTTATGTTACAATATGTACATTTACAAAATAACACTTCTAGAATTTTTTTTTTTCTTAACTAGTAAATTAAACTTGTTTGGCTGTAATTTATTTAATTGCAGTAGTTTAAAAAAAAATAATGTCCTTAAATTAAAAAAAAATAAAGATAAATTTATGAGATCAAAATTACTAAGGGCTAATGTACTAAGCCGTTTTTTTAAAAACAAGGCCTGGGTTGCATCTATGAAAAACTATAAACTCATTTTCAGCAACAAAAAAAAAATTCCTTAAAGAAACTCATATTGTCTAAAAACTACTTCACTTGTCTAAAAGCAACTTCTGATTGTTTATAAAAGCAACTTCTGATTGTTTACAAAAGCAACTTCTGATTGTTTATAAAAGCAACTTATGATTGTTTACAAAAGCAACTTCTGATTATTTACAAAAGCAACTTCTGATTGTTTATAAAAGCAACTTATGATTGTTTACAAAAGCAACTTCTGATTGTTTACAAAAGCAACTTCTGATTGTTTACAAAAGCAACTTCTGATTGTTTATAAAAGCAACTTCTGATTGTTTACAAAAGCAACTTCTGATTGTTTATAAAAGCAACTTCTGATTGTTTACAATAAAATTTTTATTGTCTTTTTATTTTTATTTTAATTCTCTTTAATTATATTCAACTTCACTTGGGGTTGTCTATAACCAAAAAAAAATCATCACAGAATACAGATTATACTATGCACTTTGTTTCAAATATACCTAATATATGACAAAAGGGTGGCATAAGAAATCATGATTATGGTTATTGCAAAAAACATAATTAAAGTAAAATAATGATATGATAAATAATGATATCTAAGTATGATAAATCTATTACTGCAAGTGAAAAATGTTGTAATGTAAAAATACCTGTGCAAGGAACATCCCTTTCAATGCATGAAATTCTGCTGTCATCTCCTTTGTAAAGTATTTTAAATTTGTTGATTCAATGACTTCAAGTCCTTCATGTAATTCTGTTTTTCCCATGACACCTATAAATTGAAACAATAAAATCAATTACTCATATAAATATATATACTTATATATCTAAGTAAAAAAATTATTTAACTTTTTGTGAAGACTACCTGCCATCTGAAGATAACACTTGACTTGTTGACGAATTTTCTGAAAGCAATCAACAATTGGAACAGATGGAATTGTATGAATGCGACTAAGCGAGTCTAAACAAACACCTGTAAGACCATGTTTTCGTGCAATATATCCATAGTATATTATAGACCAAGCAGAAGCATGAACACCTAAATGAAATTTAAAAAATAATTTAAACTGATAAAATAAGTCAAAGTGATAGAACTAATTAAATTAAAAGATCCTGATATAAAAAATCTACCTAGCATTGCATGATTATTAGACTGGGCTTCATTAGACATTTGTGTAGAAAGATTTTCATATGCAGCAACAATAGCTTGATAATGATGATGCCGCCACATAAATATATCACTCCAATGCAACAGATCATCACACTGCAATGGCAATCTATTTCTCCATGTTTTCACAGTAGCTTTCATGTCATGTAAACTTGACATTCTTCCAATGTTCTGCTGTTGCAAACCTACATGCAATTGAGATGCTTCTTGAAGCTCTATAATTTGCTGCGCAGCTCTCAAAATCTTAATATGAATAGATGAAACAATGTTTGGAAGTCGCCTCCACTGCCTTATGGCTTGTGTTGATGCTGCATCCACAAGTTTTTCAAGATTACTCAAATTTTGTTCATCAGGGTGACAAATACTCAAATAACCTCGATAAAGTGTTAGCTGGTAAGCTATTGCATCAGGAAAACTCAATTCAACCTTAATAAAAAACATAAACTAGAATTTTTTAAAATATGATAAGTTGAATTTTATTCATATCAATAAATAAATGTTTGATCATATCAATAAATGCTTGCATGTTAAGCATAAAAAAACAGTCTTGCATACTTATAAAAGAAAGAGAATAAAAGAGATATAAACCTGAGTGAGAGCTTCTTTCATTGCCTGCCAATCTGGTATACGCCATGCACTTTCTAAAACTATTAAATCATTAGACTGAGCTTTAGATTTACCAAATTCAATCAAAACATCCCATTGGCCTAATTCTTTAGCACAGCGAACCCAGCGATCCTCCCAAAGTTGATATTCTGAAAGCAATCTTGGATCTAAACGACTATTATTGGACTGTTCACGTGCTTTTGACATTGCACTTTCATAAGAAGTTTGAGCATGCTCAAAAAGACCTTGTAATTCAAAGGAAAGAGCTGTCAAAGTTTCTGGAAATCTTGCTTTGTGTTGCCACAAACCTGCAACCATATCATCTTCAGAAAGCAGTTCATACATTTCAGCTAATGATTCAAATGTTTCTTGGACAGGTATTTCAGAAACATCATCATCATATAAACCTAGAGATTTTTATTTAATGTAAAATATCTACGATTTAATATCTACATGTATTAAGAGTAAAAGTTTTAACAATAGCATTTTATCACTATAATCGTCAAATTAAAATAAATTAAAAATAAAGTTTACATTAACTTTTAAATTCTTTTGAACCTAATAAATATTGTTAACAATAGAATAAATAATCATATATAACACATTATAATAAATAATAATATATAACACATTATATAATAGATAATAACTAAAAACAAAATTATCGTCAAGAAAAACAATAAAACTGTTAATAAAGTTCTTTACAGTGCTAACATTACCAAAACGACTTAGCAATACCAAATGATGAAAATACCATAAAAACATAAAATCTTAGCAATCTGATTGAATAGAAATATGAAACTTCTAAATAATTGTGTACTTAGGTGTCTGGCGTGGTCATTAGGATTCAAGCACCATGAACACATAGTGTAGAATAGCAACAACTGATTTAACATTAGCTTAAAAATTTCTTAATAGGCATAAGACAACAATATGGCAAACAAAATGTGTTTGAGATTTATATAAAGAATTTTTTTGGGGCTATTAATTCTTATTGAATAACATGACCATTAAAGATAAAAAAAAAGATTGCAAAAAAGCAAGATTTACACAATAAGTTCAAAAATTCCAAAAGATGTTTATGCCAATTTTTTTACAGAAGGTAACAAATGCAATTCTATAACAATCAGGTTTTGATCTTAAAAAAGTTAAAAGCAATAAGTCAATTGCATATAGAAAAACTAAAAAGAAAATTAAAACATATCAACAATAAAATTGGATCTTGATTTATTTTTTTATATGTACTGTTGCGCACTTTGTTTTTTCAATATGGTCAAAATGACAGATTATTATATATTTGTTTAAAAATATAGAGGCCATATATATTTATATAGCGATATAAATTTATATAGAAAGAAAAAAAAATATTGCCCCCTCCCTCAAGAGAAAGGACCAAATGATAATTTCTTTTTTCTAAAGATAAAATTTAAATGGAAAAATCTTATTTTAAAATAATAAAAAAAGACAAAAAAAAAATTTAGTTGGATTTTATAAAATATTCTTAAAAATTTAATATAAAAATTTAAATTTAAAAAAATATTTATTTTACTTTTTATTAGTAACTTTATTATTACCAAATTGTTGATTTTCTTTTTGCAGTGCATTTCATTCATTGGTTGATAAAGAAAATGTAATTCTTTTTTAGCAAACAATTAATTTTATTATAATATAGAAAAATAGTTTAACAAATACAATAAAAAGACATAAATGACAGTTATCATTTTAGTTAAAAAAAAAAAAAAAAAACTAACCAAAATCTAACCATGGTTGCTGTAATGGAAGCTGAGGATTGACAGAAACTATATCATCACAAGCTAAAGCCATGTTTTCTAACATTAAAGCACTTTGATGCCATAAGTTATGAGTTTTTCCAAGGTACTTTAATACACAAGGACGTATACTCAAACCAACACAGCGTGACATACCTTCAACAAGAGTATTAATAGCGCTTCGATAGCCTTCGGTTTGTGCTAAATGACTACCACTACATAAAAATGGACCAAATTCACCACAAAGAACGGTCTGGTAACGTGTTTCTAATAAATCCCATAACTGAGGAAAAATATCAACCCAAATTTTATGAGCAAGTAATGTACTTCTATGACAGAGTTGTGAAATAGCATTTACAAATGGAGCTATTTTGATATCATGCAACCTATCAAGAAACTTCCCATGAACTTGGGACAACTGCTCCAATACTAAAGTATAATCAAATTTATTGTCTAAGTTCACAACACAGCTGTTTATATCATTAAGTTTTTCTAAAATAGAATTAGTTGAACGAAGGCAAAAGAGATCTATCTCTTCATTTTTTATTTCTTCATAATTTTGTTCTAATGACTTTAATGTAACTGATAAATCTTTTTTTCGTTGATGATACTGTTCTAAAACTTTTACAGCTTCTGGTTGAGTTGAATTACGAAGTGCAGATAAACATGAAGGTAACCTACTGTAATTACTGCTACAAACAACATTTTTATCTATCTGTATTGTATTAAAAATAAGCTCTAAGCATTGTTTTATCCAATACTGATTGCCCATATGTTCCCAATTTTGAGTTGATATAATGTACAAAAGACGATCATAAATTTTCTTTTTAATGCTTTTATCAAAAACATCCATAAATTTAGTCCTTATTGATGGATTAACACTACGAAGACCAGCCAAAAAGGCTGGTTCCAGTCGCGCAGTGAGCTCACTGCCACTTAGAGATTTATCTCTAAATTCAAAAATACAAAATGCATTTTAAATAAACAAATCAACGAAAACATGGCAGTATAAAAATATAAATTATACTAACTTGTAAACATAATTAACAATTTCTAAAAACTGACTGTGAAGCTCCACATCATCAGCAAATCGTTTTTCAAAATTTAACATCATTCGATAAAGAATAAGCGATTTTTCACGAATAGATGGTATGTTGTTACTTGTGGTCTGAATATAAAATAATCATAAAAAAGTTTATTCACGAATAGATGGTATATTTTGACTTTTAGCCTGAACATAAAACACTCATTAAAAAGTTTATTCAAATTCTAGATATAGATTAAAGATCATAGAATGATCATTTAAAAATCCAAAATTTATCAACAAAAACATTTATCAACAAAAAAAAAAAAAAAAAAAAAAAAAAAAAAAAAAAAAAAAAAAAAACTTACAACTTTTACTCTAATCCATTCATCTACAATTTTAATCATTGCTTTCAACAGTCTAGCTTCTGGTGACTTCTCGATAAGAGAAGTAAGAACTGTTAGAAAAACTTTTCTCATGTCTCCTTGCATAGCACAAATTCTCATTTTAGCAAGCTCTAATGCAGAAATCAACAAATCAGTTAAGCCTGCACTTTCACCTGCCTGCCCTGTGATATGTTCTTTTTGCATTTTTTGCATTGCCTTCATAAATGGAATGAGGAATTTGTCTAAATAACAAGGACTACTTGAACAAGCAGCCTTGAGTAAGTTTATTGGCACATTTAGTGTTGTTGTTGATGAACTAGTTTCATAACTATTTAAACCTTCGTAAATGATATTTCCAATGCTGCTATACAAGTTTTCAAACTCATCTTCTTTATTACATAAGCCAGATTCAATTGGAAACAATCCTAATAGTTTCTCTAACATCAAATGAACACCTTTCACAACTTTTACATTTTGACATGCCATGCAAACAATAATTCCTCTCTGAATTGGCTTAAACATGGCCAGGATTTCTTGTTTATTTAATATAGTGCACATATATGTCAACATCTCTAAACCAATTGAGATATTAGAAATATTTGAATTTGGTGTTGATTCAAGCATAAGAAACAGTTTTTCGAGCCAGATAACACGTAATTCAGCTTCAGGCCAACAATCAGGTTTTAAACAGATTTGAAGTAGCTTAAAACATCTTTTTGAAAGTGTCTCAGCTGGAGAACTTCCAGTAGATGCACTATTATCATTTACTTGACATGCGATACGAAACAAAAAGTTGCTTACAGCATCGACAACATGCTTTTCAAACTTTTCATGTTTCTCTTCTTTAATAAGCTTTTTTTTAAAATAAAACAAGAAATTAGGACATATAAGATACAAATAACAATACAAATAAAAATTTTAAGAGAAGTTAATATTATTCATCTATTGATATATATTTTATAAAAACTCACTTGTTCTATTGACATATACTGTGGAAATTTTCTTGAAATGAATATATATATATATATTACTTAAATAAATTTTACATCAAACTTTTTCAATGTTATTTTTATCACATTTAGTAGTTTTTAATTTGAAATAAAAATAAAAGTAGAAACTTTGTTTATATCATAAGTACTTATTTTATTAGTGTTTATTTTGTATCATTATATAGTAAATAACAGGAGCATTTCATTTGATGCTTGATGCTGCTATTGAGGTACTTAGGCAGGAATTAATACTGCTAATGAGGTACTTAGGCAGAAATGGATACTGCTATTGAAGTTCTTAAGCAAGAATTAATACGGCTATTAAGTTATTTAGGCAGGAATTATTATTATATATTAATGAATATATTATTAAAGTGAAAAAGAAAAATGAAAGACCTATTGCCAAAAAAAAAGTAAAAAAAAAGAAAAACAATATATTTAAAAATAGCAGAACAAAATAATTAAAATAACAATAAACTGCTACTAAGTAAATAGTTATGTATAGTTTGACACCCAAACCATGGTGAGTATTATCAAACATCCATATTTTGAAAATCTGGAAAATTGTTTGGGTAAAATATCCGGAATATATTTTCCCCTATTTTCCGATTAATTTTTGCTTTTAGCTGAGTTGTTACCAATGTTTTTTTTAAACTTTTCTTAATTTTGTTTGAGTGATGAGTGAAAAAGCTTAAAAAACAAATATTTTACAAAAATATATACCTAAACTTGTATAAATGTATGGAAAAGGTTTTAGATATCCAGAAAAACTAAAAGTTGAGAAAAACACTTGCAAATCCAAAAATAAAACTATATAACTATCTACCAAAAATTACTGTAGTATACAGACAATTTAAAGTCACACAGGCCTGCAGTTTTATTTTTTTTTCTTTAAAATAAGAATTAATACATATGTATTTTTGGTTGCTAATTTTGGGAAACTATCAAAAAGATTCCATTAAGTAAGGTTTTTCTGCAAAATGCAAAATACAGTGGGATTGACTATCTTAAGGTGCAAAACAGGGTTTATTGCCAAAAAATTTATTTTTTATAAATTCCAATTCTTATTATAAGAAAATTTTATGTTTTATAGAGTGAAATAAAACATTTAGTAACTCATAACAATAAAATAAGTCAGCGTTGAATCAATATTGGGATTTTCCATAGTAAGTATGGAAAATCCCAATATATACAAATGCCGGATTTCCTAATGTTTATTCCCAAACTCCCTTCCATGCCCTTTCATTTATATATTTCTGTTCCAAATTTTGTAATGCGCAACAAGTTTAAATTTTGAAATTTTTTACTAAAAAATCATAGCTATTTTAAATTACATTTATTTCATATGCTTTTCTATTATGCAGCAAAATGTTCTAAAAAAATCAATAGATTTAAAATTTAAAAAAAAATTTAAATATTATTAAGTTTATATACACAAACTAAAACAAAGAAATGTCTAAAAAATACCATAGTGCGAGGTTTTTTAGGTATAATTTGGTCTACACTTTCAGTACTTAATCTCTTAATGCCACTAGCAACTAAATTAGTTGGAACATCTGCAGTTTGATCTTGTTCATGATGGTGTCTTTCCCATTCAATAATAACTTCAGCTAAATCAACAGCTAATTTGCGATGTTCAATTGTTGCACTCTGGGTAAAACCTAATCTTTGCATTGAACTAATCATGTGCTGAACAAGATCCATTCGAACAGGATAGTACACATCACGATGGTGAACAATCAAGTGTCTAAATTTATTAAAAAATATAAATGATTAATCAAATATGACTGAATGTTAGCAAACAACTTTTAATATGAAAAAGTTTGAGCTTACAAAACATGAACAAGCTGACTTAATGTGTGACCTTCTTCTACTATAATTTTTTTAGTCCAATGGGAAAGCATAGCATTGCCATCTTCCATTCGAGTAGGCATTACAGGTGTCAAAATGTCAAGTCCTTGGCGAACAACTTGGCGAGCCTCTTGCCCATGAGCTTTCAGCAAACCATGAAAAACCTGAAGTTTATTTTTTAATATAAAAATACTTTATATTCATAAAAAAACATTTGTAAATACAAAACAAAATTATATACCTGTAAAACAAACTTTTTATGAATTGCAAATTTGATAATAATATGGGCTTGCAAAAAAAAGCCATGATACTTTGTAGCAGGATCTACACACTGTTTAGAAAGTAAACATGGCCAAGCAAATATATAAAGTCGCTTAAGTTTTACACCTTGTTTACGATTTGAAACATCATGAATATGAGCGCCAGCATGTTCAACTAACAATGCTGACAACTGTAATAATAAAATGCGTATGGAGTCCTAAAAAGAATTTTTATTTTAAACTAAACCTAAAATTTTTATGAAGATTTTTTTCTTTTCCTTCACTTAGATTTACTTTATCATAGTTAAAATTGTAACTAACTAAAAAAACAGCATCACTACATTAAGCACATTAAAAATGTTAAAAATTTTAAAACTGTTTTTTATGATTGTATAATAGTAACTAAAATAGAAATTTTTACATTGAATTACATTAATTTCGAATACATTGAACTCATTTTAATTATAATATTAAAGAATATTTAGAATATTTATGAATTTTTTCATAAAAAAAAATTACCGGAAATGCCATTTCTGGGTCAATCACTTTATTTAAGAAAACACTGATCACATTATTTGGGCTATCTTGTTCTGGACATGGTGGTCCTCCAATCAACTCTATAGTTTCATTTTTCTTAAAACTATCTTCAAACATTGGTATAACAAGGTGCATTAGAATCATTGCTTTTAAAGTTTGTGGAAAGGATTGGTTAAGAAAACATTCAACAAATTTAAAGAAAACATTTCTTTTTTTTTCAACAGTGTAGGACTACATAATGAAAAAATAATTTTAAAATATTGAAAGTTCTTGCTATGACTATCGGAAGTTTACACAAATTTAATTTTATAAGTTTATAGCAAGCCAATTAACAAAATGTAAAACTATAATGAAAATATCTAATTATAATAAAAATATTTAATTATATACTAAAATATTAAAAAAGTTACTATGTTAAATCAAATTGAATTTATATCACAACAAACAATATTTTGCAGCATAAAAACATTACCTTGCAAATGTTCTCTAAAAATCGCTTTAAAAAATGAAAACTTGACAAAGAGATGATTGTATAAACTTTAAGTAGTTGAAACAAAACATCTATATCATTTGGTTTATGACTGACATAAGATAAGAGACATTTTGCAACTAACTTAACCTCTCTCCAATATTCATTGCTACTGTCAATACTTTTTTCAAACAATGGATGAGAGTTCCAAATTCTTTTCAGGTGTGTAATTACTAAAGGTTGCTGTGACAACCACTCTTGATTAAACTTTACAAGAATTCGAACGATTAAAACACCTTGAAACTGTAGATTATGACGCTTTATTGCTAACGCCAGCTGATCTTCATTTTGCTTCATTAAAATAAATAAGATTGAAACAAGTTTTATGGTTAAAAAATAATAATAAACAATAAACTATCATCCCCAAATATTTTCCACATAAATATTTGTTGATGTTATTTCTCACTGAGAATATAAAAAAATTTCTGGACAATAATGAATTAAATTTAAAAGAGTAATTTATCAAACTATTTAATGTTTTTTACTTAAAATAAACTTTAATCAAAAATAGAAAAAGTAAAGAAAATTGAGGGAGAAATCAAAGAAAAATCATAAAGTTAAGAACCAAAAAAGTCATATTGTCTATAAAAAAATATTGAGACCTACTTGAGGTAAAGTTGCTAAGAATGTGCTGTTGACCAATCTCACAGCATTTGCTTCAAGAGCTATTCTAAATGGCTTTGCATCATCTCTTTTTAAAATACAAATAAACAATCTATTAATCAAGGGATCTGAAATATTTGAAAGAAAGTGTTCAACAGCTTGATGAGGATAATGAAGAAGAAAAGCAACTAAAGGTTGACGAAACGGACTTGAAACTTCTATGACTAAAGCTCTTTCTGTTTTAACGGTCAATGCAATAAGCGGTTCAATTAACTTAGTTGAGGCAGCAGGAACAAGATAAAACATATTCATAATAGCTCCACATATTTTAATCTCTTCAGTACTACGTAAAGCTGGCTTAACCTGCTGATGATTTTGCGTATTTGCAGTAGACACAGCTGTATCAGTCCATTTACGTAAATGTGCTAAAAGTTGCTCACAAAGCTTTTCATTAAAAAGCTCTGGAAACAATTCCATAAAACAGGTAAGTTTCTAAAAAAAATATAAATGCATAACAAAATATAAATACAAAAAAAGCTAAAATTAATTGTAAAATAAAAATAGTGTATATATATATATATATATATATATATATATATATTTATATATATATATATATATATATATATATATATATATATATATATATATATATATATATATATATATATATATATATATATATATATATATATATATATTTATATTTATAATTATTCACCTTCCCAAGGCCCAAGGGGGCCACTACAGTCAAGGAGGCTACTCATTTTTTTTTTGTTGTTGTTGTAAATCGTGGTACAACCCTCTTTTGGTACAATCCTCTCACCTCTTTAACTCCGAAACACGAACCTTGAAAAGCAAGACCGCTGTCTTTTTTACTTGTATTCATTAAAATGAATACAAGTAAAATTTTAATGTCTCAACATTGATACAATATACAAATTAAAACACAAATTTAGTGACACAATGCAAAAAAAAGTAAACAAATGAATTTTTTTTTTTTAATTAAATTTAATTTCTGGTTATTTTTATTGTTTTATTTTATTTATAAAATAAAATCATAAAAAAAGCTAAAATGTAGTACTGAATTATTTTACAGAATGATTTGATTTTACAGAAAATAAAAATCAATTCAGTGATGTTAAATAGTGATGTTGAGAAAATAAAAATCAATTCAATGACGTTCAATGGAACACTACAACACTGATACAGTTTCTTAAACCTAGTTTGTATAAATTTCAAATATATTTAAGAAAACAGCACTGAAATTATGTTATCATTTTAAACATAACTGAAGACTTTGTATCATACATTGTATTTATGGTGAATTTGGTTTTGACTAAAATTTCTCGCTTGCGATTCTTTTTTATAAAAATTATCATTCTGATAAAAGCATTTTCAGTCCAATTCAACTTGATTACTGCAATTATAGAACCATTATTTATTAAAACTTCATTAATTTCTTAAAAATCATTGATTGGTTTTGCATAACAAACACATGTTTTAACAAATTAATCATGCATTAATGATACTTTGAGAACTTTTGAAACTGGATAAGTT